TTTTAATTCTCAAGAAAAATTTTGTGTACTGATCGCATTTATTGAATTCTTCAAGTGCGATTTAAACCTTCAATAGGCAAAATTTGCAAAAATTCATAGAAATAAATATATTGTATAATACTTCTTACTTTCTTGAAATGGTTTCTGAAATTTTAATTTCTGGATATTTCAATGCTTGCCCGCTAAAGGGCTAAACCTTCCCATATTACAATAGTGTTGCCTATGATCGTATGTACACAATTAATAAAGTTGTTCCCATCAAACCTTCCCATCTTACAATAGTGTTGCAAAAGATCATTTGCAGGAAATTATTGTTGTTCAGGAAGATTATCTACAAACAAATAAGATTGTTGATTCTAAACGATATATCCATCAATTCCTGTTGCAAATGAGAGCTTGCTATTAATATCCAATACCGTTTTGACAATCTATTTCATCAGTACAATACAATATTCTAAGATGCGAAAGAAACATAAAAAAAGCAAAGCGCCTAATGTTGCATGTGAGGGCAAGGTAATTATCTCAGTTTTCGCCACATGTCCTAATGAGGCAACCCTCAAGAACATAGCGCAGTGCTTTCAAAAATTCAAAAATATTTTTGAGTTTGTAACTCGTGAAAAGTTTTTAAATAGTACCTTCAGCCATCCACGCGAGGCTTTTCAAGCTAAAAAAACAATCACAGATGAAAAATTTGCCGCTTTGTGTTAGACGAGTTTGCATAGTATGGCGCAAAGTACGAATAACATTACTGCGGTTATTGAGTTTGTGGACAGGTATATTGATTTAGAAGTAATCTCACCTCATAGTTGTCGCCCTTGAAGGAGTCTAGTGTTGAGCCGCAAGCGTTTCTTAGGTACTTCTTACAACACCGCATCACGGCTTCGTCAATCTGAACAATAATAATAAGTTTAGTGATAAATGATTATCTAATTAACTTAAAACTAATGTTGAGTTCAGGACGGCCACGCCGCCTTCAAATCATCCTTCTATGCCGGGAGTATAGCTGTGGTCTTCTGAGTTATATATAGCCAAGTAACCTACCCAGTAGACCATATGTGTCAGAATCTTTCACATGAAACTCATTGGAACCTCAACAATCGCACCGAGGAGCTATGATGGATCAATGGGAAGAGAATATATAAGTGGAAGAATTGTATACCTGATCAATAAATCTATTAATACAAGGCAATAGTTGATGCCCTGTTGATGTACGGGACAAATCAGTCCAATTTTCAAGTACTCACATCAAATGGGGTACTATTTAGAAAATGACATATTGAAGTAAATAATGGAGCATGGTAATTAAAGTACATCAGAGAAAAAGTAATATTGGAGGCAGAAACAGACATGGATAATAGTGAAAAGAGCCGCTTAAACTGAACATTACCAGGGGTTCGTTGTGATACACAAACTACGAATTTAAGCCTACGGTAAAAACCAACTAGCCTTGTGGCGCCGCCCTCAATAGATATGCAGGGAGACAGGAGTCACAGGACCAAGTTGTAGTTCACAGACAACCATGAGGGGGAGCGTGCAGAGATGATCATGTTACAATGAACTATATTGAACATGAGAGACGTGCATGTATAATTAATTTGACCTTATCGACGCACGCTAATGTAACATACATCAACCATAAGGACGTGTTTTGGACACTCCTGTAGCAGTTCGTGCATGAGGGCGCCGTCGCCCCCGCCCAGAATGAGAACTGTCTTGCCTTCGTAGCTCTCCACACCCTTGTTCATGAGACCGTGCGTGTACGCCAAGTCACTTTCAGCAAGATCTGACCACAAAAATATCTCTTAGCAAGAACCAACCCGATAAATGACTTCATGCTATGTCTGACCAGATAAAATAGTTTGGTCAAGATCTGACGAGACAAGTCACTTTCGGCAAGATTTGAGCAGACAAATGACTAAGGAAAATCTGGCAATTCATTTCAGAAGAGAGTAAAGAGTGTCAAAGAATAAAGCATGCTGATGCATATTATACCCACTTCATTTTTACAAGAATTAGATTATCCTGATATTAAAGCAGTTGCAGCATTTTCTAACAATATTCTTTTTGATGAAATCTTACTTGATGGATGATTTTATTTCATGTTGAACTAAATGCAAGAAATGCAAAAACAATCAGCAGAAAAAAAAACTCAGTAGTACTCACTGAAGTGAGTGACAGAGAGTGCATTTTCTCAAACTTGACGAAAATGGACAAACAGTTCACATCTGTCCAAAAAAAGTCACGGACAGACGGACGGACGGACATGACGAGCACAATAGGGCATTTCTTCCATAAATGAGAAAATGCTCATTTACAACGAAGTGAAATCATAATGGGAGCTCAACAAAATCAAAATGACAAACACACTCTAATGGAGGCTCACTTTGCAGGTTATCTAGCACCAAGATGTTGCCGAAGCTTTTGCTGTGGACGATCTCCACTTTCTGGTAGGGAGTTGTTTCTGAGAACTTCACTTCATCAATGTCGTACTCCAGCAGCCTGTCATCTGGTGCAGCAACATAAAGCAATTAGTAGGAACTTGAGGTGCATTCAAAAAAGTTTTTAGGTAAATAATTAGAGTAGACTTTTTAATGCTAATTGCACCACGTCAGTTCAGAAACATTCAAGCTAAAAATCAGTTTAATTTATTTCATCACAGCAAATCGTAGATAAAACATCTAGCTCTATGGTAACAAATGCAATCATGTACTCATCTATGTACTGTATAACAATAAGAGAATAATGCTCTTTATTAATAATTTTCAGGTTGCTTTTTCCAATGATATGAACAAAGTTTCTTGCTGGTGTAGGCTAATCAAAAAGCAGGTTGCTAAGAGGCACATTAATCAATTACAACGTTTCAAATTTCCAAAAAAAATTCCAATGGATGCTTATTATGTAAAGGATACGAGAAGGAAACGTTCACCTGAGGAAGAGTGGCACATATGGGGTGATATTGCGAGACTCAACATACTAACATTTCGAACATATTAATTTTCGTATTATAAGTAGTTAGAAATATTTATTTCTGTTATGTAGTAGGTAATGTGCAGGAAACACTCACCCGAGGAGCTGTAGTATGGGTTGATATGCGAGACACAACATGCCAACATTTCAAATATATTAATTTTCATGTTATAAGTAGTTAGAAACATTTATTTATGTTACGTAGTAGGTAATGTGCAGGAAACACTCACCCGAGGAGGTGTAGTATGGGTTGATGGGTGGGGCTCTCTTGATGCCAGCAAGCACCTTGACTTTTAGAGCTCCACACGCCTTCATGATGCGCTTCTCCAGCTGCAGAGCTTCCTGGTGATTAAACGTTCTCATTAATAACAGCCTTTAGAATATAAAATATTTCCATTGCAATTAAATTAAATGTAGAGCCAAGTCAGGATGCAGGTCATGCTTCTAAGAAAATATGAAGCTTAGCAGGAAACAACTGCCTAGACCTTTACTGGTGAAACATTCAGGTCACATTGCTTGAACAAAAAAAAAATGATTTCAAGTTCAAAGTATTTTACAAAATTAATAACATGTTCGAAACAAAAATTAAGGGCAGACACTGGGGTAAAAAAGGAAAAAAAAAGTCCAGCACAATTGACTGAATTTGACAAGCAAAGATTCAATTATTCAAAACTTTAACACACATGACGGCTTCAACTAACTGGATGAAAAACAACTGGTAAGAGAATTATTGAAAAACCTATCACTGTGTTCATTCAAAGCCAGGAATTCCTGAAGCAAAATTTCATAATGACTGCAATTGAGAATTCAAATTGTTTATAAAATATCAATTGGCAAGATACTAAAATATATAAATTGTATCTTCTAATGAAAGACAAAAAGAGATTGCATCACTGAGAAGCAACTCACAGCCTTGTTGCAGTAAAGTCCAGCAATGAAGAAGACAGAGTAATTTATATATACTACTATACATCACAAAATATTTATACACTCGGAAAAAACGAGTTTATCTCTGGACAAAAAAAATACTCTTGTATTTTTAATATAGTAACATGTATCTTGTATTTTTAATATGGTAACTATATAGCATAAATGTGGAATGCACAACATTGTTGAAGGCTATTGACGAAAATGAATGTGCACAAGTTTCAGCAAATGGAGGGAAGTCAATGACATTATATGCAATGTAATGGAAGTAATTCATCTTCATGCAAAAAAAGTTATGCAAAATCTTGATTTATTTTTCATAAAATACAACTAAGCATTACTGAAACATTTAAGAAATCGAATGTGTTCCTTATTGGCAGCAATTATGCAATATTCATAAGGTTTATATAATATTGTAGGTACGTACGTAGTATATGCCTACATTTTTTTCCAAAAAGTATTAATAAAAGTTATAGATAGGTACTGCTGTAATGGTGAAAAATAAAAAAATAAAAAATACAGTGTACACTTTTTCATGGTGTATTTTGCGCCTGGATGACAGCCCAAATTTCAACAGGAACAAATTGACAGAAAATTTCGGCCATATTCTTATTGATTTTTTTCATTATAGAAAGAACAAAATCCAAGCCTTTATGACATTTCAAGTAAATGGAGAGACCTATGATCTGACAGACAGCAAAGCAGAAAATACTAAAGCACATTTTAAAATAAAATTGGGAGCCATCTTGTTAGCCCGTTTTGATAAATGACACATCTAAGGAATAAGAATAAAGAATAAGAAGGAATGAATAAGAATATACAAACAAATAATATAATTAAATACGTACATCAACTGCAATAAGTTGCTTGTTGACATCCTCAGTGTAGTGCTCAAAGAGACCAGACACGAGGCCATTTCCATAAAGTTTGACAGAAAAAGTGTTGCCACTGTCAGCTGTGTAGAGGCTATGGTAGTTGTTGCCAGGTAGGACTGCATTGTTTACCTGCTCATTGAAAATTTATGTGTTATTCCAGAGACAATTTATGGGAAAAAATTACACTTTATCTATCAAATTGTTAGTAATTCTGTGGTCATGAGAGTAAGGTCTTGCTTGCTACTGAATGTTGGGCAAACAATTATCCAAAGGGCTATTAATAGCAGACTTATAATGAAGTTGAAAGCAGTTAACAAGTTTTCCTTCATTCAACAGTATACTTGACAAGGCAAAAAATTACTGATAGCACCAATATTGGGTTAGAATATTAATTATGTAAATGAGTTTCAAGTTTTACAAGATAAATTTACTTCACAGCAGTCTAATAATTAGTACAAAAGCTCAAGAGGTAGCAATTAAATTCAGCACATCAAGGAATCTACAAAACTTTCCCGACAAAAAAATATTTCAACACTGTTGATTCCTGCACTTGAACCATCAACTTTTAATAAAAGTTTATTGTGGAAATTTAAAATATGAATCAACTATTATAATGTCTATTTTTCCTGTAGAATCTTAGTAATAGTTTTTCAGTGCTGTGCTTTGACTCACCTCAGAGAGTGGCCCAGCATAGGGCTCCACTAGAGGCACTAGTTTCCTTAGTAACTCCTTTCTGCTCTCTGAAAAACAACAAATCGCTTACATGTAATCTTCAAGGAGTGATAAAACTAGAAAAAAGTCCCTTTTTATACAGTTGATATTTTATTAATGAGGATCAATATTCAAATATCATCAATATATCATCTTAACATTGAAGATTGCAGTAAAGTTGTAAGTGAAATGCCACATGTTTTCTAACCTTCATCCTTGACTTTGGACGGCTCAACACGCAGGTCAATTGGAATAGAGTGGCCAGCCATTATAACTGCAAGCCAATAATCTGTAGGATTTGCTAAAAAGCTAAAACTCTAGAAACTAAATAACCTGTAAAATCTACCATTTTAGTGACGATATATTAGTCTTCTCCAATGTTTATTTCTCCGTTGGAATTCAGGAACAAAAGCATTTTTTGTTAGTACCTATATTCCACTCTAGGGAGTTCCAACATTACGGTCCAATATTTCAAGTCAAAAAGTTTGATTTTGAACTGAAGAAAATGACAGTGATGGTTTTTGATGGGAATTGGGAAAACTACATTATCTGGATGAAAAGATTATTATTGATCATTGTTATGCCTATTTAGGTTCAGGGATCCCAGGGAGCACCAAAATCCCTTGAATGGAGGCACTAAATAACCTCTCATCCCCTTGAGGAAGTTACTCAGTGAATGTCTTCAATACTCAATGAATAAAGTGAATAAGGCAACAAATAAAGAGTTTTGATTACAGTTAGATCTTAAAAGCAGCACCACTAACTCTGAGAACATAATCATATTGGACCACATCACTAAAGCTCAAATACCCACTCACCTAATAATATTCTTACAATATACAATGACAGGTAGAAAACATAAATAATAATAATTGAAGGATCCAATAAAATTACATACATTATTGGAAACATTTTTTCATGAAATCAGTAATGAAATGAACATGAATAATTTACTGTTCTATGCCAAGATAGTACCGTAATCAATATCTATAGTAGTTTCATAACCATAGAGAATGTTTTTTAAAGTTATGTTTGGCTCTTTCAACAGGCCTTTGATGCAAATGACTGCCTAAAATTGTAAAATTCACACCATTGATAACGACCTGAAATTCTGAATGGAGTTTTGGTATGACTTTCACTTTATCATCTCTGCATACTATAGTGAAAGTGTTTTTAGTCTCCTTTATAACAGTGCCAGTTGCATCAACAAGGTTTGGACATCTAGAACGAGTGACAGAAATTTTAGATCCAAAGAAATCAATCTTTTTAAACTTATTTTGAACAGTTTGAGTGCGGCTGTCATCATAATCACCACTCCATCCTTCATCAATGAAATGTTTCAAGCCGAGCATTTGAATGGCATATTCATGCCACAACTCATGAATCTGACAAAAATCAGTATATTTCTTGCTGCTTGGCTTGATCATATGCAGACCAAGTCTACGCTTTGCTTGGCCTGACAGACATCCTGAGGGGGTCTTTTTAGCTTCAAACATGGTCTTCTTCATCTGGTGATGAGTGAAGGGGGTTTTCTTGAATTTGGATGCATTTCTTTGTATCAGAACAAAATAATTCGCAGCCTGCAATGGAGAAAGTAATGAAAAAAATTTTAGACAAATTTATGTTAAGTTCCCAAAATGGAATTAAACAAATATTTGAAAATAATAACAGAATATCATTGTTGTACTAGTAAGAAGAAACTGTATTTTTACTGGATCATTTACAGATTTTAGGTCAGATCCATTTTTACAGTCCTAAACAAATTCTCAGAAAAAAACTTCCTATGGCACATTTTCATACTAATATTTTTGGGGCAATTGAAAAAATATGCTTTAGTAGAAGTGAGAAAAACATCATGGCTAGCATCAACTAAAGTGCAATATGGTACCTATGATGCAATGCTGAATAAGTTATATATATCATTACAGAAAAAAAAACAATAAATATCTGCACTGCAATTATGCAATTTTACTTACAGCTTTCTCAATTGACTCCTTGTCAAGGTTGTCTCCGGGCTCTCCTTTGGCATGCAATTTTATAAAATCTCTTGCAGCAGATTTGGGATCAGGGACATTAAGTGGTTCAGATGAATGAAGGACTTGCTGAACAACATCAGGAAGTTCCTGATATAAAGGATTTCCTGCTTCTGAATTCATTTATAACTTTAAATTACAAGCCAAGAATCTCTGGAAGAAATAGTATGGTAAACTTATATTGAAAGAGAGGATTTACTCTGAAAAAGTTCAAATATGACAATAAGATTGCCATTTAAACATCTCACCTTGATACCATATTTTTCCTAATGAGGACAAACCTACACCAAAAGCACCATAATAAATCTGGCTATAACTTTCCAAGTGCTTAGCATTATTTCAAAACATAGGTTATTGGTTTTGTAGTTTATCTGGGGGCATTGTCCAGAATAATGATTATTTCATCTCAAATAAATGCAGACACATTAAAAATGCAATTAAGGAACTTGTTAAAATTTTGAAATTCACGAGTCAAGAGGGCTGAAGCACTTCATCATATGATGTACACTTGTACAGTCAAGAAGGCAATGAACAGGAACTCCTGTGCAACTTTTTGCTGCTTGGATCTACATTTATGATTAACTCTCAGATAAAATGCAATTTTTGATGTTGATGGGCTTAGGCATGGTTTCCTACACATTCTATTACAGCTCTTGCCATACAGAGCAGATCTTTGGAATGACAACAAAATAGTCATCACAATGCGAGATTAAATCATTAAGAACCTATATAAGTTAGATTAAGCAGCATTTATTGCCACTTGGTAAAATTACAGGATTTTTTTCTTATATGTACCTATTGTTGTACATAGTCATCTGAACCAACCCACTTTACCATTTTGTGGGCAAGCATAGGTATAAGCAGAAATTCGTGTTTCTGAAACCACTAAAAGAAAATATGAATTTTATTTATTATTGGATATATTTACTCATACATAATTTTAATAATTTTTGTCCTGGAATAATAAATCGTACTAGAAGAATTTATTAAATGCCATCACTACACAAGATTTGTTTAATTTTATTTCAAATTCAAGGATATCAATTTAAATAGTACTGGTAATTCAATTTTATTCAATTCAATCAAGTTACCTAAAATAATTGAGTAGACATTGCTATTTCTGTTTTTTTTAATGCAGAAAGAGCTTCAATTTCATTATCCAAGTCAAAACTTTCAATTAAATGCACATATTTAAGTTTTTGGGCATTTTCGAGGTTGATGCAATGCATGAAATGACATTCAGATGATTGATGATTGGGAGAGGCATGATAATGTAGCCTCAAGCACAAACCAGGGGCCTTGATGGGTCCTTTTGGGAGGAGATTTTAAGTGAACAAGTATTGTAACTTGTCCATGAAAGGGTTAACCAATGGCAGGATGAATGCTGGAATCATATACGGTATACCTATAGAGGGGTTGGACAAAATAAGGGAAACACTTGACATTTTGATTTCATAATATTTTAAACATGTTATAAACAAAGAAAATGTGACATATTCTTATGTTTTATTTTTTATTGTTGCTGCTAACTGATACTTATCCTTGCACACATATTTTTAGTAAATTTTTGTATTTATAACCTAACCTATTGCTAATAAATGGCAAACCTCTCTTATTTTCAAAGAGGCAAAATTGTTGGTGTCTGTATGGCAGATGCTAGTTTGACAGAAACTTCCCAAATGCTTGATGTTTCTAGAGGTACTCTCTCAAAAGTAAGGACTTCTTTTGAAGAAGAAGGCTTTGCCAAGGAAAATCCTTGACAAAGCACAGTTCTGACCAAAAGTCAAAGTTGTCTGAGAGAGAAAATTGGTGTCTAAATCAAATTGTGAGTGACAATGGAAGAAACCATGACTGTTAAAATTACTGCAGACCTCAATGGACACCTACAGAGCCCAGTTTCCATGAAGACTCTGCCAAGGGCAGCACAGATCTGGATCCTATAGATCCTGCAATTACGATCCATAGGATATTACATTTTTAAAATGAAAAACTTAATTTTTCAGCAACCAAACCACACATAACTCCTTCAATGCTGAACAGATCTTGAAATTTAGAATATATGTAGATATTATAAATGCACAATTCAGTGCTATAACCAATAGTACTGCTCATGTTGTCTATAAGGCTAGATGTCTATTGAGTTTTCACTGTAATACATCAGGCGATTGAAATGTAAAGATTTTTGTGATAGAACTCAGTATTATACCTACTTAACAATTTCTTTCTTGCAATTCTGCTCAATTTTCCTGTTTCTGCCCATTTGTCCAGTTAGGTAATCCTTGCCTCTGGGCCATAGTGGAATTCTAGGAAGAGAGGTCCTTATAGTGGTCCGTTGCATTGCGGCAGTGGCAAGGCCCATTGCAAGGCCCCTTACAAGTTGCAATGGTCTAAACCCAATGGTCCAACCATGTGGTCCCATTGCAACTCCCTCTAGAAATATGTGGATTTTCAAAATTGATATAAATAAATAAGTAAAGATTTGAACTGGGAAATTCCTTAGTTACTTATGTTGGTTCCAAAATGATATCAATGATGTAAAAAATGACACTTTCATGATCATCGGTTACTCAGCCAGTCAGCCCACTTATCAGCTACTGAGCTCAGTCAGTCATTTGTTTTTTTTTTACCTCATAACTCATCATGTTAGAACTTTGATGTTCAAATGTTGACAATACTGTCAATATCACAATCAAAATTATTCACAATATCACAATTGGAAATATATATTAGAATATCATAATTAAAAATGTTATTCAAAATCACAATCGTCTGCAACGTGAGACTGCTCCACCTCAAGTCGCCTTGTTTACCTAGCTACTGGCTGGGCTGGGAAGCGGAGCTTGCGGTGACATCACATATGCACAAGCAATACTTTGCCTGTGCGCATGCAATACTTTGCCACACTTTTTGAGCCACCGCTCAAAGAAATAGAAACACGGCTGGCAAACCCATGAAGCCATGGCTTGAAAAATCCAGTCGCAGCTTGCCAAGTAGATATATTCCATGCCTGAATGGCTGATAGCGGACAGCATTGGCAGCTACCTGTGGCAGTTTGCTTTGTTGAGAATTCTAAATTTTACATCAAAAGCCTTGGTTTCAAGTCCTTTGTAGCCTTAATTTCAGCTTAAAGTATATCAAAAATTTATGTTTCTGCACGGATTTGAATGTTATCAATATTGAGAAACTACAAATTATCCCTCATGCAAGAAATACTAACTAAATAAATTATATTTTCAATAAAAACGTTGCTTGAAGTTGAAAACCAAGTGATACTGTGATCTAAATGATCCAAGTTGGATTGCTCAGTTTTGGAGTTACATTTTTATCAAAATTAAAATTTATTTAGCAAGTATTTCTTGCATGAGAGATACTTCGAAGTTTCTCAATGTAAAACAATAACGGCATTGAAATCCATACAGAAATGTAAATTTTCAATATTTTTTAGGCTCCTAAGGATTTGAAACTGGGGCTTCTGATTTCAAATGCAAAATTCAGTTCACCTGACATTGACAAGGCCAAGTGCCACGGCTGCTGGTGCAGTTTGCTGCCAGGTGCGACAGTACTGGCCTGCCTCTTTTCTTTATTCAGTGTTTAACCAGCTTTTGCTTGGAAGCTGCCAGTGTGCTGTGTGTTTTTTGGTGTGGCAGTGTGTGTTGGTCAATGGTCAGTAAAGAAGCATTGATCGGTTCAAAACTTCAAAATGTCAAGACCAGGTTTTTTTATATTACCTACTTACCTTAGTTTAGTACCTTTAGGATTACACTATGCCTTGGGCCACCCTGCATGCCTGCAACACTCAATTTTTGAAGTAACTAGCTAGTCTAACTGTCTAAGTAGTCTCACTAGTCTGTACTCTGTCAGCCTGTCTGTTTGGTATTAAAAACAGCAGCTTTTCATAAATGCAATCAAATTTATTGTAAAAATTACAAATTAGAACTTTAGAAGCAGGCATGATTCAAATGCTATTGATAGAGCTATATAGGTAAGAGATGGACAGTGCACAGTGATTCAGTCACAGTGGAGTCACTGGAGTGGACTATCAATATGACAATATCAAGCAAGTCAAGTACCTATCTATGGACTATCATACTATGCTATGGACTATGGTTAGTTGTTACTGGACACTGTACAGTTATTGCTGGTTAAAATTTGTGAACTGCATCCAAAATGTGTTTCAAATTTAGGCAGACATTTTAGGCTTCACTCCTAGCCCTAGGCCTAGGTAGTAGGTACTAGGTAGTCATAAGTCATAAGTAATAACAAATAACAATCACTAATATCAAAAACAAATAGCTAGTAGATTAAAATTAATAGATAACTAGTAGCTCCCCAACAATTAGCAAACAAATAAAATAAGCCTAAGGGGCCAGTAAGGGCTAGGTACACTGTCAAGAAGAATACCTATTACCTAATGCCAGTCGCGAGTCACCACGATCATAGTCATCATACGATGTTCACGAAGCAGATTCTGCTCTTAGCTACTTTGCCTGTCTGCAGTCTCGCATCTAAAAAGTAAAATCTAAGGCTGCTTTGATAATGATAGAACCAGAAAAGTTTTTTTTAATAAAATATATAGTTTTTATTGATGGATGGCGACTTGGTGTTGTGGCCTCACTGGGACTGGCCGGTGTCGGCATCGGCATTGGGCAAGAATGTCATACGGTAGCTGACGCTGACCGTCTGTCGCTGAGTTAGCCTGAGTAGGCGTGACAAAATAGGTAAAGCCGCCCTGCTGTAGACGTAGTGCCAGAACAGCATGAGAATAGAGATAGCTTACTTTGGATAGTTATTTCATACTTAGTGATTCTAGTCTACAGCCCAGCAAAGAATGTGGGAGAGTTAAGTTTAAAGAAGAAAAGTACTCTAAGTGGATATATGAAGCTGATGGCAATTAGCAAGCTCGTTTGATACAAAATAAGGAAGAAATAAAGTTTGCGTGATAACACGCGCACGGCACAGTCTGCAGCATCGAAATGCATCTGTGCCATCACTCAACACGTAAACCTCAAGGCTACATCTTGATTCTTGACCGAGACAAGAGCACGCACATGAGAGCACGGGCCTGGGAAGTTCGAAACGAAAACAGTTCGCTGGTATAATGGAGAAGAATGACAGGTGAAAACAGAATATGGCGCGCGTACCTCCAGGTTGAAACTTGAATAATGAGGGGATATCTAATATTCGATTGCGGAACTCTTATTACTGTGTTATGCATTTCATATTTTTTCAGATTTCGATTTCTTAAATTATCCACATGAAATAAAGCTGCTCAAAATAGAGTTTCGCCATTTTCATTACTTTCATTCGGCTGTACCTTTGCCTTATTGAAACCATGTTCGAACTATGATTTAAAGTTTTTTTTTAATAAAATATATAGTTTTTATTGATGGATGGCGACTGGGTGTTGTGGCCTCACTGGCCGGTGTCGGCATCGGCATTGGGCAAGAATGTCATACGGTAGCTGACGCTGACCGTCTGTCGCTGAGTTAGCCTGAGTAGGCGTGACAAAATAGGTAAAGCCGCCCTGCTGTAGACGTAGTGCCAGAACAGCATGAGAATAGAGATAGCTTACTTTGGATAGTTATTTCATACTTAGTGATTCTAGTCTACAGCCCAGCAAAGAATGTGGGAGAGTTAAGTTTAAAGAAGAAAAGTACTCTAAGTGGATATATGAAGCTGATGGCAATTAGCAAGCTCGTTTGATACAAAATAAGGATGAAATAAAGTTTGCGTGATAACACGCGCACGGCACAGTCTGCAGACTGCAGCATCGAAATGCATCTGTGCCATCACTCAACACGTAAACCTCAAGGCTACATCTTGATTCTTGACCGAGACAAGAGCACGCACATGAGAGCACGGGCCTGGGAAGTTCGAAACGAAAACAGTTCGCTGGTATAATGGAGAAGAATGACAGGTGAAAACAGAATATGGCGCGCGTACCTCCAGGTTGAAACTTGAATAATACGGGGATATCTAATATTCGATTGCGGAACTCTTATTACTGTGTTATGCATTTCATATTTTTTCAGATTTCGATTTCTTAAATTATCCACATGAAATAAAGCTGCTCAAAATAGAGTTTCGCCATTTTCATTACTTTCATTCGGCTGTACCTTTGCCTTATTGAAACCATGTTCGAACTATGATTTAAAGTTTTTTTTTAAACTATTCCTTCGCTTCACGTCACACGAAATTAGTGGCTATTACAAGTCAATAGGCAGATTACATGGCAAACTCAAACGGGCTGAGAGAATCTAATTTGCTACGCAATTCAAATTATCGATATGAATTACGGTAATATCTCACCTAAAAAATGTATTATCCAAAAAATATTGTCAATAATTGTGCAAATTTAGGCTATATAACTCTAAGATTATATAAAATGTAATTAGCCCGAAGTTTTTTTTTGTGCGGAGCGTTTTAATCCATCATATGGCTATCATTATTTGCCATTGTGAATGCTTCAAGGCTACCACATAATACAAAAACGCACGAAACAAGTTAATTTGGCGAAATGATCTTTTACGGTCGCGCGAGAAATTTGACCGCAACTGTCTCCGTGATGGTGATCACTGAAATTCGCCTCCAATGAAAGTAGTTGGGCGAGTCAGCTGGTAATGTGGTCGTGGACGCGGACAGTGTTCTTTTGCAAATGCTCTGCTACACCCGTCACAATACAGTGAGTAACCGCATTGATACAAAAAGTTGTCCATAGATTCATAAAAAAGGAAAGCCTCACATTGTAGTGACAACATTGAGAAATAACGCACGTTCGTGATTACATCATGAACATTGTCGAGCTAACACAATGGAAACTCGTGACTCTGTCTCTATGTTTATCAATCCTACGCAATATGAGGAAGTGAAATTTCCCACATGTATACTACGTACTAAAAGTTTTGCCGTTGTAATTATTAGAAAATTTTGCACGGTTTCGATTCACACTCCTAATCCAAGCAGTTTTCTTTGAAAAAGCTTATCTTATGTTTTGTTGTTTGTACTTAACGGTTCATAACGGTAACGTTGTTGTAGCGGTTCTATAAACTTCTTGCACAAAATCTTGAGGACAGCCTATGCATGCTCAAGGCGTCGAGATTCAGTCCACAAATTGAGTCGCCACTAAAATTTCGAATATTAATCTATTCTCTCATAGTTCGTAAACTGCATATGCTGTATGAGCAGCGAAGCATTTTCATTAAGACCACATCCCGATCCACTGACATGAGATTTTCCAGGCAGCTTTATTTTTGACGTACATTTAATACGCGTTCACGCAAAATCAGTACAATTTTATGATGTTTTGATAATTGAAGACGTGACGTCAGTTCGACACATTTTTATAATAACTATCATCGGCGCGAGAAGTAAGAGGCTCAATTGAGTTAAAATCATTTTATTCATTCATAAAGTTAGTATTAATAACATTTCTGTGTTATTGCACAAGGCAAGGGTTACTTTGGCACACAGAAGCACAAGGCGATGGTTATATCGAGTCAGTGATCGAGCAAAACTTAGGCTAATATTTTTTTAAACATAAGCAATGGAAGTATCGCGATTAGAGGTCGAAGAAATTCATAACTAATAACATACAGTTGTTCACTCATAAACGGCTATTCTAAATGCGAAGAATTTTCTAGCAAATCAAGATTTTCTAACCGATCTTATAAATCAAAAATAAATAACTCACTTTGGTACGAAAAAGAACTTGCTTCAATTTAGTTCGGTAATCAGGCATGTGCCAAGTCTAGTAATATGCAATCGCAGCCTATTGAGTTATTGAAGAGCATATAAGAATATTTCATGTTTAAACATCTATTTACTATTACATTAATAAGAAGAAACAAGTTGCGCTTCGAAAAAATTAAAAGGAGACATGAACGAAGTTTCAAGACATTAGAAGTATTCTTGGCTAAGAGTTTTATCCTAGCCATAACTATAAGGCAAAATGAAGCAGACACGACTTGACGTAAAATAATCAGAGTACATAACACAGAGTTATTTAACACCTTATAGGGAAGGCACAATATTTTTATAAAGATTATGTAATGTTCAGGATAATTTATGACTTTGAAATCCAAAAATCTGTGTTTTTACTTGGAGAACTACCTGTGTCCCGTTGACAGCATGTTCACAAAATGATAGGTCGGTAACAAATGACGATTCGAGTTCAATTATTGAAGAAAAAATTCTTGCTGACATCGTCTCGTCAGTTCTAAAGTCACGTCTGACCTACAACTGAGTGACATCGTCGCGTTGCATGCAGCAATGCATAAGCTGCGGTTCAGTGACAACTGATCGCGTACTGCAGTGCAGGCATTGTGGTCTGGCTCACGCAAGCTGAGACTTGACACGGGATATCTTCCTGTCCTTAGCCTCCAGGTTTTTAGGAGGGTACTGAGAATTGCTCTTCTGATGGCGCTCGTATGTGCTGCATGTGAGAAAACCGTTAGTGTTTAATAACTTAATAACTATATTATGCGCATCGTTCTCGTGACATAGGTATTCACTCAACGATGGCAGTATCTGCTGGTGAATCAATGTACTATGCTAGAAAGATAATAGGCGATAAAATTCAGCTGTAAATCGCCCAAAAAACAGGTGATGAGGATTAAAATATAAACGATAAAAATATCATAGATGGGAGTGAGTTAAAATGAATCAAAGTCACTTAAATTAACCATTTATCAGTGAAGAATAATAAAACAATACCTGGATTAATATAATAACCAAGTAATTATAAATTAGGCCAAGTACCAAAAAATAGATAGGTCGTTCAATTAGAACGGCAATAAAATATTTACCGTGCCAATAATTGAAATAATGGGTATACTTCAAAAACAAGTAAAATAAATTAAATGCTTTGTAAAAATTAAAATTTATATTGAGTGAGAAATGACTACTAACAATTTGTAAGTTGGAGTCTTCATGATGTCGATAACGTGTGAGATGCCAAGGAGGAGTTGGTCTGCCAGCATCTGGATCAGGTGGTTGCCGTCAATACGGAAGCACGACTTACTTCCTTGTAAATCCAGATATGCTGCAACAAAAACACAAAGTTAATCAGCACACTGATAATACACCCAATTGCTGTGTCAATGCTGCTACCGTCACTGTAGCACGTCGCTAGTGAACGTCTGTGGCCGCGCAACACCATGGTGGTGGGTGGAAATGTAACGAATTGAAAGGTTTGAATTGAAAAGTTCATTATGATATCGCAGTTACCGACAGAAACAGCGACATGTCAGAACAGATAATTTACTGACAATTACATGAATATCTCACAAGTAAAGTGTGAGGAGGAAGAGAAGTGTGAGGAGGAAGAGAAGTGTGAGGAGGAAGTGAAGTGTGAGAAGGAAGAGAAGTGTGAGGAGGAAGAGAAGTGCAAGAAGTGAAGCGTCCACTCCTTACAAATTTCAGGAGGGAGGACCTGCAGCCTGTTGCTCTGCAGGTGCAGCTCACGCAGCCTGTGCAGCTCTCCCACCTCCCGTGGCAGGTCCACCAAGTCGTTGTCCCGCAGCACCAACTTTGCATGTAACATTAAGAAGTAGGTAACTTTCAACTACTTTGGGAACTCAACATGCGCATCATTAAGAGCTAAATATTTAGACAACCTACTGCACTCCCATGACATTGCAATAGAGGCATAGTTACTGCCTTTTTATTCCAATTTACCTAGTCACTGCTCTTTAAACATTTTTCATTAATTTCATTTTAGTAAGTAAAAAACTAATCTTCAGAACAACCATTGAAAAACGGTATGAATAAGGGAATTTAAATAGGAAAAGAGGGTATGAATTACTGATGCTTTGACAATAAGCCAAGTAGAGCAAATCTGTAATAAATTTGGTTAATTGAGTGTGGTTCTAACAGAGGTTTCATTAAGATAAGTAATTACTTGAGATGCTCTAGTGATATTTTAAGGTTTTGAAGGAGTTCATGAAATGGAATGAAATAAATTTCTCAAATCTCCAGGTTACTTATGTATTTCCAATGCATTTCTAATTCCCTTTTTTGTCATGTTAGTTTAAAATAAGTTCTAAAACTGAAAATGAAATTTGTGGGGCCCTGAACACACTATGGAAGGTACCAGTGATATTGTTATATTGTCTAGTTATGCTAGGTTAGTTGACTCTGCTCATACAAAATCAGCCAAACTAAATTGTAGGTGCCCAGCCTTAGGTGCACCCTAACAGCAATAAAAATGCTACAGAAACATGTGCATCAATAAGATGCTGCTTACATTAACCTTTGGTTGACTACCTATTGTGAGTAAAAATGTACCTATATCAAGTAGGATTGTAACATTGCAAAATTATGCAGTCTGACAAGGTATAAAGAACACAAGTACACATAGCTGAAGAAGCTCACATCATGAAAAATTCTCTACTTACGATTTGGAGATTTTTAAAATTTTTTATTTCAGGCGACAGAATTTCGAAGTCATTATCAGCCATGTAGAGAGCACGGAGAGACTCTGCATAGATATAAAAAGTTCACATTTTTATTATATAATTACCAATATTGCACCATTGCATTATTGGAAACTTGATTGTATTGGTTTTATAAATTTTAAATTGAAACTAAAGTAAAACAGTACAAAAGACATCATCAAATCTTATAAATAGATGACAATTTAGTTCAAAGTAAAAATAATTTCATTATTAACTGTTAAAAAATATATTATTCCTGAACAAATTCAATAAGGACAATTTATACATCAAAATATATAAATAATACATTTAGGTTCTTCTTCCTTAAAACATTGACTTAGTAAATTGAATTAATTACTATTAAGACAGACAACATAATTTGCGGAAAAACTTACCTAGCATAAAGAAATTGCCAGGCAGAGTTTCTTCAGAGATGTTGTTGTAAGAGAAATCCAGCACTTCCAGCACAGGGAACGATCCAAAGCCCCTTGGCAACGTGTCCAGGCGATTCATGCTGCAATATTTGAATTAAAATACATCTGAACTGAACAAAAAATGGAGAAATGACTTGAATACTACACTAAAACTCAATGAACAACAACAACATTAATTCCATTCATAACATAATGCATCAATTAACTTAGGTAAATATTAAAGTGAACTACAAAGACAAATAAAAATATGTTAGAAGCTCTTCTTCCAATTAAAATTCTGATTAAGATTCAAATAAAATTTTGTTGAATAACTACAGGCTAACTGCCTTTAACTTGGCAGCATATTAATTTACAGGATTAATTTTCTGCATCAACTAGCCTCTAGCTTAGGTTTCATATAAATTACCAATAAAAACTAACATTAAATACAACTGAGCCTGATGCCAAATAAGGCAGAAGGGTAATATAAAAAATATGGGATATTAACAATAAATTCTAAAATGTCTAGCATAATGTTCAGAAGATTAATTTTGGTGAGAGATTGTCTTTAAAAACAAATGATTGGTCAATGTAATGCTGTAAAACAAAGGCAAAATATCCTGTATTTTAAAAAAATCATTAAAATGATATACATTGATTTATATCCTTCTACCTATTGGTCATTTTCTGTACATAATTTTGATGGATTAACAATTGGATAATTAAATATAAGAAGGTGTCAACATGTCAAGTATTCACAGGGTTTTCCCATAAAATTAATACAACAAAACACCCTACCTTACCCTGTGGCCTGTATTATGTATATATATTTACATAGATTTATTTATACAAGTAGTAAATATTTTAGTAATACATCTTTTTCATACTAATATCTGGTAAAAATAAATCAACAGAGAGTGGAATTGAATATATTAGTTATATCATCATAACAAATGTGATAAATTAAATGACTTCAGAAGGACACATATTTATCTTGCCTATACAACTTACCCAACATTGAGGATGCGGAGTTTGTTCAAAGATGAAATGGCCACAGGAAGTTCCACGAGGTGGTTATTGTACAAATTCAATATCTCCAAATTGGTCAAGTGAGCAATCGCTGGTGGCAGTGATGACAGCCGATTATGTGACAATGTGAGGCGAGTGATGTGCTCCATTGTAACTGAAAAAGATTCATCATTTCATGAACTATAAGATTGACATTAAGCAAAATAAATCTCTAGTCATAGATGCATTAGGAACAAAAGATTGGATAATAGTATAGATTTTAAAACTAAAAGAGCACTAGAGCAGGACATTGAAGACAAGACTAGGAATAGGAAATTCAGCACCAACACATAGACATAGATTCATAAACAAGCTAAATTTTTCTATGACAATTAATACATTGATTTATATCCTTCTACCTATTGGTCATTTTCTGTACATAATTTTGATGGATTAACAATTGGATAATTAAATATAAGAAGGTGTCAACATGTCAAGTATTCACAGGGTTTTCCCATAAAATTAATACAACAAAACACCCTACCTTACCCTGTATTATGTACCTATATATATTTACATAGATTTATTTATACAAGTAGTAAATATTTTAGTAATACATCTTTTTCATACTAATATCTGGTAAAAATAAATCAACAGAGAGTGGAATTGAATATATTAGTTATATCATCATAACAAATGTGATAAATTAAATGACTTCAGAAGGACACATATTTATCTTGCCTATACAACTTACCCAACATTGAGGATGCGGAGTTTGTTCAAAGATGAAATGGCCACAGGAAGTTCCACGAGGTGGTTATTGTACAAATTCAATATCTCCAAATTGGTCAAGTGAGCAATCGCTGGTGGCAGTGATGACAGCCGATTATGTGACAATGTGAGGCGAGTGATGTGCTCCATTGTAACTGAAAAAGATTCGTGAACTATAAGATTGAAATTAAGCAAAATAAATCTCTAGTCATAGATGCATTAGGAACAAAAGATTGGATAATAGTATAGATTTTAAAACTAAAAGAGCACTAGAGCAGGACATTGAAGACAAGACTAGGAATAGGAAATTCAGCACCAACACATAGACATAGATTCATAAACAAGCTAAATTTTTCTATGACAATTTCCTCAAAAAATTTCAATCTTCAGAGTGAGTCTTAGGAATAATATTTCTTCACAGTTATTAAATCAGTAATTTAAAATATGTTGTACCTAACAGGAATGTAATTTTCCTACTTCTGAATGAAATCTCATGGTGACCAAAGTGACAAATTGTTTATACTTGTCAGTATATACATTTCGATTAGTGTTGAATACAATGCAGACCAATTTCAGTTGGTTTACTTACGCAAGCCAGGAAGGTCTTCAATTTTAGCTATTTGCTTGTCTTGCAATTCAATTTCAGGGTTTCCACTCTCTCGAGCTTCATCCAATACTTTTTTGGCAGCCTTAGACATGACTTTTGTATGAAATAGTTCAGTGGCTCGAATAAATATTGTCTTTATTATCGAAAAATTTGGTGCAACGATCTTCGAAGTTCGAACGTCAAACGTGAGATCTACAATCTAGTGGTGGAGCAAAGAAGCAACTATCTACTACAGACTACTCTACCAAGTCAACTAACGCCAGCTGGTGACTGCCTGGGGACCGTAGTCCTGTTACTGCTAATAGCAATTCTTTGCCCATCCGTAGACACAACTTCACGTTTTCTACAGATCCAGGTTATCTTGCTAAGTATAACAAATTCAAGTTTAATTTCATAATACTTTCGGTGCATATGCTAGCTTTACAACTTGTTTTTCAAAAAACCGTTTAATATGCTAAACGAATATGAATGTTATTTTAATAATATGCGTTTAAAAATTACTTTTTAAAGACAACACTTCTGAAGAATTCAGTGTCTTGGATGTTACACATGTATGATGCATTTCTAATTTTATTTTCAAATATACAAAAAATTTTTTTTTAAATTTTTTTAAGATATCAAAATTTTGTAAATTTTCAAAATTATTAATTCTGTCAACTTATTTATGCATTGTCTCTGACTATATGCAATTGTACAAAATTTTAGATCGATTGGATGGACAGGTCAAATTGTGTCATATACGGATTATAAGATTTGTAGCAGACGAAATTATTTTTACTTTTTTTATAATGAAAAAAATTTAATTTATAAAATTATTCATTCTGTCAATTGATTCATGCATTGTCTTCAACTTCACGCACGTGTGCAAAATTTCAGATCGATTGGACAGGTAGAAGTGTGTCAAATATCGATAATAAGATTTGTAGCTGACAAACTTATTTTTAATTTTTTTTAATATTGAAAAAATTTTTACTTTTAAAATCATTTATGATGTCAATTGATTCATTCATTGTCTCCAACTTTGTGCAAGTGTGCCAAATTTCAGATCGATTGGACAGGACGAAGTGTGTTAAATATCGACTATAAGATTTGTAGCAGATAGACAGACAGACAGACAGACAGACAGACAGACAGACAGACAGACAGACAAACAACAAGAAGTGAAGTTAAAGAGAAGTGTTGTAATAAAAAGAGTAGCCTGTGGTTAACTTGGGTAATAGAAAGAGGTGCAAGACAAATGCAAAAAGACAAATGCAAAATGCACTAAGACAAATGCAAAACTGAAAAAAATTCTGTTCCTAGAGCACGCATTATAAAAGCATAAGAATTTTTTGAAAATAAGAATTTTTTGAAATTTATAAAAACATAACATAATCGACGAAACTACGAATCCATGCTACCACACATGCGGGATTACTTATTCACCACACCTTAGCGATCACTTATTCGCCATACGCAAGCGATTATTTATTCGCTATATGAGCGATTATTTATTGTCCGCCGTTTGTGCGTGATCGTGGTGTGCCGATCGTTTGTATGTGATTGTAGCAGTAGTCGTATAATTCACAAACGATCATTCATTCGTAAATTTATCATGTTGAAACGCTCACTTATTTGCCACACACGCTCGATCAATCACTCACCATTTCCTAACGAGTGATCACTTATTCGCACATACGCGATCATTTATTCGCCACAAATAAGCGATCATTTATATCCCACAAATGCGCGATCATTTATTCACCGCACTTAAGCGATCATTTATTCGCCATACACAGCGATCATTTATTCGCTATATACACATCATTTACTCGCCGCCGTTTGTGTGTGATCGTGGTGAGCCAATCGTTTGTGTGTGATCGTAGTAGCAGTCGTATAACTCACAAACGAACATTCATTCGTCAATTCGTCATGTTGAACCGATCATTTATTCGCCACACACACTCGATGAATCACTTACCATTTCCTAATTTCCAATTAGTCACCATTTCTTAACAATTGATCCATTATTCACACATACGCGATCATTTATTCGCCATACACAAGCGATCATTTATAAGCCACACATGCGCGATCATTTATTCACCGCACTCAAACGATCATTTATTTGCCATACACAAGCGATCATTTATACGCCACACATGCACGATCATTTATTCACTGCACTCAAGCGATCATTTATTCGCCATACACAAGCGATCGTTTATACGCCACACATGCGCGATCTTTTATTCACCACACTTAAGCGATCACTTATTCGCAATACGCAAGCGATTATTTAGTCGCTATATGTGCGATTATTTATTCGCCGCCGTTTGTGCGTGATCGTTTTATTGAAATCTGGGCGTGATCTGGGCAGGGTGGCTCAGGGGTTAAAGTTCAGAGTACCAAGATTGACGCACTAGAGACGCGCGGGTTCGATCCCAGCTCTGTGCGCCAGTTTCTGGTCAGGATCGGCAAGGAGGCCGGGCGGTTAAGCACAGCAGAATTGTAGCAGTTCTTTGCGAGTTCGAGACCTCAAAATGCTGTGAATGTGCTGCGATGCTAAGAATCGGCGACAGGCCTACGGCCTAATAAGCGCTGAAACCGCTATTATCGTGGTGTGCCGATCGTTTGTGAGTGATCGTTGTAGTTGTCGTATAACTCACAAACGATCATTCATTCGACAATTCGTCATGTTGAACCGATCATTTATTCGCCACACACACTCGATCAATCACTCGCCATTTTCTAATTACCAATTAGTCACCATTTCCTAACAATTGATCACTTATTTACACATACGCGATAATTTATTCGCCATACACAAGTGATCATTTATAAGCCACACATGCGCTCTGTAAATGATAGATTTCTATACAAACTTCTTTTTATTTCTATAGAAATGTCTTTCTATTTTAGAAGTGACATACTAATTTTACTTGTATCTTAAATGTGTGCGATCAAATCCATTGCGCTTAGTCTTATTACCTCTTATTTTAAGTGTCTTGTGCAGTGAGTTGTGCATGTCTATTGAGGACGAATACTGTTGTGTGTATAGGTGCTGTATTGGGAAGTACTAAATATTGTCTGAATTGAAGTGTGAATCAGAATATACTTGACTGGATTGTTGGAAGGATGGGAAAGCAGACCAGGCAAACTAGCGCAAGAAAGCGGGATGGGGGAGGAGTTGAGGTTCCTGTGAACCAGGTAGTGTTGTCGCTGCAAGAGTTGGTTTTCCAAGCAGCAACTTGGGATTGAAGACTGGTCCAATGAAGATATTAGGAGATCATACGCTATCTGTAGAGAGTATATTTTAGCCTTAAGGAAAGAAAATAGTAATTTGAAGAAAAGGAACGAAGAACTAGAAGAGATTGTTGCAAGAGCTAGCGAGGCGAGGCTGGAAATCTCTCCTGCCATGCTTGTAGAGCCAGTGTGAATACTCATGATCGAGGGAGGGGTGGGAAAGGGTGATGATAAAATTGTAGAAATTGAGGTGAGTGTATCCGAGTAGGTGCAGGGCAGGACAAGCTCGCATGTGCATGGTGGGGATGGTGTGGATGGAAGGAGTGGGAGGATGAAATGTGATGGAACCAAGGGAGGTTAGAAAAAAATAGGTAAGCACCCAATTTTTATGGTGGGGGACAGTGGGATTTGGGCACTTATCGACATACCGAAGCACTCAAAATGTACAACTGAGAATTATAGTCGCGGGCTCTTTGTCTTTCATGGTGGGGGAAATGGGCTAAAAGAAATGGGTGTGGAAAAAACTGTCCAGGAAATTACTAGTTGCGTGAGGGAGGTGCATGAATAAAATAGGTCTGTGGCAGTAATCGGTATTTTGAGACGACCTAGAGAGGATGATACTTACGAACGAATGAGAAGAGATGTAAATATAAAGTGTTTAATAATGTGATGGAATTCAAAATAGAATGCTTTAAAATGGGTGCGAGAAATGTCAGCTTTCTTGATGCTGATAGTATTAGAGAGAACATGTTTGGAACGGATGGAATGTAACTCAATCCTGAGGGACGGAGGTGCTTGGGCGAAAAGTGAAACGACGGGTGCAAGAAAATTGTATAATTGTATTGTCACTTGTAAAATGATGTCGTGAAATCGTAAATTAACAGTTCTGTTTCGCAGTGACCTCGCATCGGCAAACAAACCATCATTCCTACCCATGCAACATGCAAACTCACGTCTCTGTGTCTACGTAACGACGCCGTCTGTCTGCGTAATGACGCAGTCTCTGTCTGCGTAACGACGGCGTCTCTGTCTGCGTAACGATGCCATCCCTGTCTGCGTAACGACGCCGTCTGTGTCTGCGCACCGACGTAATCTCTGTCAGCTGAACAACATTCACCACGTGTCTCCACTCACTACGCGACCACGAGCATACCACCGAGCCAAGCACCTCGTCTTCACCACTGGCCTGGTCTTTCAATTCCACCGGGATCATCACCATCGAGCAGGTCACGTGAGCCTAATCAAAAAAATCTCAATTGCCAATTTTTGTTCTATTGATTTAACCCGACCAATTACATCAAACCGCCCCTCAAATCTCTGTCTGTTTTAGTGAAATTAACTCTAGTTACCTTGGCTTCGAATTCACCGCTTCAAAGGAGTCTAACGTAGTAGATGTGGACCGGTTATAAAACCCCCAATATATTTTGGTGACCCCGCCTAATTTCAAGCCCATATCTTGCCACCTAATTGGTGAGAACATTTCTAACATTGCTCTTATACTTGCCCATTAGACTAATAACTCAACCTAGTTCCACCTCACCATAACTTGCAAAATAAAATTCTTGTTCAAATTGTTCAAGCTAACTCTAGCTCTGTCATAGGCTTCTTGCATGCTTTGATGGCGGATGAAATTGGTCGTGTATAATCTTGCGTAGCCTCAGATTTCCATGTCCTTAACCTTTCTTTTACAGCTATTACCAAATTTTCGTCTTTAATCTAACCGTGTCTAATCTAGCATTCGTGTCAATTGCATAATTCGCGCGCATAGTGCAAGCAATAACTGCATCGGCATCAAATCTCATGACACAAAGTAATTATAATAAATATGACTAGCCTAACTGTAGCTACCGCTGGGATTGCTAAAAACTCCACTCAATTGAGCACTATTAGCTTGCCACCATTTACCCTATCATCCGTAGCTTAATGGATAAAGTTGTGTAGCTACGCGTTTAACGCGTGCGCAATAAATGATGTAGACCAAAAATGTTATCTGCTTTTGTCAGCGCTACCGTCCTTATCTTTAGTATTTGTTTGGGACATAGTAGTCCTAGGCCACGATGGATCGCCGCCTCTAATTATCGTTCATCCGCCCTCATTTGGGCCACCTGATGCACGATGCTGTTGCTTGCTTCTCGCCGCTGGTAGTGATGCAAGGGAGGTCGATATGGGATTGTGCTCAGGAACACGTCTAGTTGTCTCTTGAAGGTCTCCAGGGTGAACTCCCCCTCTCTTAGATCCCTTGGTAGGGCGTTGAACAGCCTTGGTCCTGCCACAAAAAGTGATCCTTCCCGCAGGGATTGAAATCTGACTGCGGATCTTTTACGTAGAGGGGGGATCTTGCACAGTCTCCCCCTTTTCTCGTTGTGATATGTCTGAATCCTGAAAGTCTCGCTCCCGAAGTTTGGCACCATTCCGGTTATCATTTTCCATGTGTACAGAATGACATACCTCTCCCGTCTCCTCTGTTGTGAGTACAGACTCAGTCGCTGTAACCTCTCCCAGTAGTTGAAATTCTCCATCCCTCTGATCCTGGAAGTAAAGGTTCGTTGGACTCCTTCCAGTTGCCGAACTGCACCTAGCGTAAAAGGAGTCCAGAGCTGGCAGCAGTATTCAAGGATAGGTATTACAAGGGCTCTGAAGAGTGTGATCATCGGTTCCGCTTCTCTCGTCGAACTAGCAATCAGACCTAACCAACCTGATGGTTGATGAGCCTAACATGGAAGGTAAATTTGAGTTGTTGCGTGACAATTTGATCAAACGTACGTACCAGAAAGCACACGCATTAAATTCCTGCTAAACCATACCCCAAATGGGCATTAGAACGCCCTCGTAATATATGCGTCACCTCCGCAATTTTGCAGGCACGTCGCAAGACAAGGATTCTTCTTTGATTAGGTCAAAATTTTTGGAGCGTATTCTTTCATTTATGCGCGCTATAATCGCCCATATGACAGATCAATCGCTTGCTTATCTGGCCGATACGGCCGACAAAAGCCATGTTGCGATAGGAAACGAGAGTCACTTAACCAGCCTTAGTTCAAAACTCCGTCCAACTGCCCCTCCCTACATGTCACGTTCATTTGAACGTGTAAAAATAGCATCAATACATCGTTGACCGAGGAGCTCGAGAGAGTAACTATAAACTGTAGAGTAAATATAATATTATATGCGAATCGCAGCACGCAAATTATCTAATGCCTGCTAATTCCGGAAAATTCAAGTCCGGCATTGCACCGACGCACCCGATGCGCGCGCAGTTGAAATTTGGATCGGCAACTAGGGAAGCTCTACCAAATTCATTTCTGTGTTTCTATATGTCAAATGTGAAATATGGGCATTTACTGGATGATTGAGGTTTTATGAGTGAGCAAAAACTGTTTGTGAGAATATCAGTGATTATTTTTCATTCCTGAAGCTGTTATGTGAAGTTGTATGTCACTTAGGCAAGATGGGCGCCTCTCTAAGCCAGCGGCATATCACAGAATGTCTGTTATACTTTAATCATTTGTTGCATCCATTCATTTGATTTGAATCAACTAAGTATATCAACCAATGCAGCGTCATCTCACAGCGATAATTGTCGTGAGCTAGATCAAGTAGTTTCTGTTCTGCCCTAAAAATAGAATTCTTGTGGAAAATGCTTTGTAATTGCTAGTTGCTACAGATGATCATTTAATCATCGCAAATTGATCGAATTGAATCGAATCATCGCGTATGAGAGAGAGAGCGTCAGCCTATGATGGAGGTGTTTTCTTTAAGATTGCTGTAAATACGTTGTTAATTGATTTTTTGTTAACATAAGAGTGTGAACTTTTAATTTATTTAACGCTAATAAAAGAACTCTTATGCAGCGTGTATGACCGATTTAAAGGTCGTGACCGGAGGTCAGCACGCACCCAATTCCAATTCCAGTATTTAAAAGCGACATTAGCATTTATTTATGATGAAGGAAGAGGTTTTTTGTGGTGCCGGCGTTGCAAACGATTTCTTGAGGCGAGTAGGTTGGGCTTGCCATAGTCAGACGACGAATATTATTTACCTTAATCGTATAGTCTCTTCGTCAATAATGCGTTAAATTAACGTACTCCTTATAACCTGTTTCAATGAAATGCATTCAGCATGATAAGTTCATAATTAGCGGAGTTTGAAAGCTCTGAATTTGGGCAATAATTTCCAATTACAATACTTAACATTTTATTTTTTAACAATTATTCGGCGTTCATGAACTCATTTTTTTGATCCACTAATTTGAGTCTTTTTGACTAGTGACTGATCGCTGAATCGCGTATTAATTGCCGCGGCACTGTTGACGGCTTTAACGACAGCCCGATTTTACTTTAATGAATGCACGACGACAAAAAAAAAAAAAACATAAAGAAATTTCGTTCGGCACTAAACATCATAACACAAATCTAATGGTTTTTAAATTTATGGTTATTATATTTATTTTCCGATTGAATTTTGTTTTTAACACTGCCGGTGAACATTTTATAGATGTAACGAGATATCACAGCGGTGCAGTAAACTATGAAGATGATGCAGAAGCCTAGTGCGGCCAAAATATCTAAGTTGGCGTAGGCGATCCAGCTGAGATTCCGGCTGCTGGCTTGCAGGTGCGGCGCCCCCCTATATCTTGCCACGTACTCCGTCCAGTATACGGCGCGCTGCAAAGGGGGCTCCGGCTGGTCCCGGAATATGCGTGACTTTAACTCCATTCGTTTTCTGAACCTGAGAGATTCGGTCAAAACAATACTGGATTAAAAGAGTTAAAAGTGTCCCTCCCCTTGAACTTTATTTTGCGGTGCACTTATCTTACTCCTAACACTAACTATCTCGCCCATCTAGCACTTGTCTAACATCTTTCTTCCCTGACCTTGCTTTCCACCTCTCCTCTCCTGTTTTCTCCCACTCCTCCACACACATTATATGAATAAATTAGGGATAAGGGATTATATAGATGAGTAAGTGATGCTTTGCAGATAGCCATTGCAAAGGCCTAATTTTGATTGTCCTTTCAGGTTCAAACGTTCAAAATGTAAATCATGCCTAACATTGATACTGCTGAATAAAAAATTTCCATATAATTTTATATAATTATTCATTTGAGTCAATATGATGCAGATCAACGATAATATCTAACAAATTTGAAACATTAACGTGCAATAGAAAGTGAGCGTAGATTACGGAAGCGCTCTTGATAACGTAAAAAAACTCATTATTATGTTCAATTTTTTTTGAGGAAGAAAAACGAAAGTACACAAGATGGCTCAGGAGAAAACCAACGAATTCTTATACTCAGTCTTGTTGATAAAATTTTCTATTTGCCTGTCGTACTTTAGATCCTTGATCGCATCAATAAGTAAATTTTCTCAAATAAATTGAAAAAATTATACTAAGCATGGAATAGAGTACGGGTACTCTGAGATAGACCACTGAAAAGCACGACGAAAAGGCGAATTTTGAATTCATCATCGAGTTATATCAACGAAAAACTATTTTTATTGAAGATTTGAATTCCGATCTACTTATAACTTCGCAAGTAGTATTTTATAGAAACTCATTGACTTGCCTAAAGTTAGGCATCGAATTTATTTTGTCTATCTTCTCACCAACGTATGTTCAGACTTGAAATGCCTATAGCACCATATGTCCATATCGAACCCGGTTGAAGTCGAGTAGCTATTTCAAACTATCGTCAGTCTTGAAAAGATCCGGTCAAATGATACGATTTTAGATCTTCTGTGAACAAGTCACGAAAAGTACAAGTATCGGCGACAGGCCACATCAGGCCTACTCTTCAGCGCCGACATCACTATGTTATTTTATGTTACATTATTACGACGGAGCTTTTTGACGCGAGTGTATGAGTCGTGAACTATTAATTTCAAGATTTATAAGAACCATTGAAAGTCTACAAACTTACCTGTTATCATTGATGATAGTGTGAATGGACTCGTTGAGCGTTTGTTCAGTAAGTGTAAGCCAAGATAAGCTCATTCCGATCCCTTCGTCTTGTACAAAAGGCGCGGTCTTGTAATTGTCGCCGTGGATGGGTAAGCAGAGTACGGGAACTACGTGGTAGATCGACTCTTGCATGCCACTCAATCCGCAGTGACTTATGTGAAGACGCAAGTTGGGATGGGCTAAAATTATAAAATTTATTAATTAACGAGGTTAATTAATGAACGATATTGCACTCAAGCAAACAAAAAGTATGATGCAGTGATCGACGTAATTATATAATTTAAATATGGCGACGAATACATTCATAATCGTCAGCTTCATTCGAAAATAAACATTTGCAAACAACAGCTACCGTCCGTATGCGGACGGTTAAATGATTCTATGTTTGAAATATTTACAATCTAAAGTCGTATTGGTCGTCGGTTCTCCCTACAAGCTTCTGTGCTGTACCGAATTTATTATCACATGATACGACCTTCTATTAAGCGCAGTTTTCTGCACAGTTTGGTTTTTTGCATTCACTTTTGAAGCTCGACTCTCGTTTTAGAGCTGTTGTACTAATGGACGGCTCTCTTTCGCTGAAAAATAAACTTACCTAAAATATCCTGTTGTGGGAACCAATTGCGAACCATCAGGTTTGAGGAGTTTAAAACTTCATCGCTTGGGTTGCGCCAGAGAACTTTATATGGCAATTTCGGAAACAGTGAGATGAAAATATTTTTGAACTGATCCGGAAAACTTGAGACTGTCAAGTAAGTTCCCGTACTCATGTAGACAGCAGGGATGTCTCCAGCTAAGAATTCCTGCAGATCCTGGAAGAAGATAATCTTTTGATTTACCAGTGGAGAATTGGGTTAGATTGCTTAGGTATATCCAAGATGGTGACTAACTTTATTATGGTGTTGGTCACCGGTATAACAAGGACAATATTATTCCCATTATACCGGTATAATGAAAGCATGACATTATGTCTAAAGGCCGATTCACTCGCTCAGTTTAACAGAACGATTTGTCAGCGCAGTTCAAATCGTTGCAGATAAAACGAATTGCGTGTGAACGGGAAAACTGCGCAGTTTCGAAGCCGGCGCGAAGACTGCACAGTTGCAGCGATATCTGAGCTACAGAGCATAGATTTCGATGACCTGCGCAGATAAGTTGGAACGTGTGGACGGAAGCACCGTTTTCCGATTCAATTTGTGCTCACTTCCAATGATTTTGGCAACAATGGCGGATCTTCGGTAATGTTCGCGGGAATTTATTGCTCTATACGAAAGTTTTCCTTGCATTTGGCCAGTAAAATCCAAGTACTATAGTAAGAGGGACAAAAAAGGTGGAGACATACATATGAGAGCTTAGTAGAAAAATTCAAAGAAATCGATGAAAGCGTAAACAGAGAAACAGCTGTAAAAAATTAATAGTTTGAGGACTATTTACCGTAAAAATTTTGGAAAAAAAATAAATCGATTCCAACTGGAGCTGGAGAAGATGACATCAATAAGCCATCTCTGTTATTTTGATTGCTCGCATTTCCGAAATGATCCAATCTTTAATTTTTAACAAGGCACAATGCCAAAATTGACCAAAATACTGCCGTCTCCATGGCGAGATCGCGCAAAACCGGGCAAAGTCGGCACCGTGTGGACGCTCTAAAAATTGCAACGATTTTATTCCGACTTGAGACTGCGCAGACAAATCGTTATGTAAACTGAGCGCGTAAATATACTTATATTCTAATGTTATAACTATTCAGAAATTCTTGGAATGCTACCTAATCAGACAGGTAATCATTAGGGTGCATTAATCTTTCCATGCCTTAGGAAGGGGTTCAGGGTCTCGAGCTACCATGCCTCCCAACATTATTTGGTTCGGCAAGAGAGGAAAGGCTCCGTCTAGGGCAAGGTGTGAGTGGACGAATATTAGACTTGCGTTCCGTTCAACTTCATAGGAAGAAGGCAAGCCTGGGAAGATCTTGGATATCTGCACATAATACGCACACTATTAGTTTGGTGAAATTACAAGATCATAATTAAAATATTGAGAAGAAGGCTTATCGTAGTGACTTCCAAACTTCTAATTCTAGGCTAAAAACATGCAAGGTCTAAACTACAATACCCGAAGTTTGGAAGGAGGGGGCTGGTTTAATGGAGCAAATTGAAATTAAAGCCAATTCCGATTTAGACAATAAAAATTCGAAACTCTATTGTTCAGTTTTCAGCCAAAATAGTAGGAAGACGATGGTCAAAAAAGGAGTACCAAACTAGCAATTTACGACCCGCTAAACGCATAACTGAACTTGAGTGACCTGAATAGCATTGACATCAAGCGTTTGTATTTTACATTACAATTTAGTACGAGGATTTACAGTCAAGACTGTAAATCCAACCTCGTGTTAAAATGTGAGTCACGTGGTTTGTTAGCTGGGTCCTCAATTTGGAAGCAAATCACGAATAGAAGAGAATTGTATCACGATGAGTCAGTATTATCAAATAACGTTTGATGCCCTTTTACTATACACAGTTCTAATAATTACACATTTGAGAAAAATAATTCTTGATCACACTCGTAAAATTAGTCATCACCAAAAGTTCTTAGTTTACGTGGTTACATTTGCCGCACCGCTTCTTCAGCTGGCGACCTGACACTCCAAAGCCAAAGGTAGGCTAAGCCAAGGGTAACCAAAATATTCTTGACTCGGCTTAGGAATGAGTAGGGTTTAGGGTAATCCGTGACGCCGTTTGACACCGCTGCAGGGTTGAAGACGTTACCCTGGTAAGCACTCGTCACGGAGTTCAGATACGATGCGGAAAACAAGATGTGGGTCATATTCACCGCAAAGGGGTAGGTAACCTGCACCATAGAGAATAATATGTTGGGACCATTTGTATATTTTACAAAGGAATGATTGGAATAGCCATTTAACAAGCGGAGATAAAATATCTAAAAAATTTCAATTTATAATTTTTATACAAAATCACGGCCAATTCTTGGATAATTCAGACTAATTAAAAATTTACCAAAAATGCCAAATTGTCGGAGATGACGAGGTCGAACTCGTTCTTTTTGGCAAGGATATATTTCACGACCGGGTCATCGTAGATCTTCGTAGCAAAGTGGCTGCTGAAATCGGCGAGGTCACTGACGAATTTTACATGTTCGTAAATAAGTCTAAAATGGTCCATGTTGAAAAATTCGTCCAAATCATATTCATAGTCGTAGTACGAGACGTTAGGATGACGTTGACTGAGGCAGACGTGACTCAGTACGGAGACCTGTAAGTTCAAGTTGCGTTTACTATACACGCGAAAAAACAGCTATAAAATACAATCATATATATCGGATGATAACGTATTTTCCGGTTATAAACATTATTTGATTACCGAATTATAGGCACCTTCAATTTTTATTTAGGATATAAGTCTTCTGCGACACCAACATTTCCATAAAACTCCCTGATTGGTCGTACATATTCAGCCTTACTCTTTAGGGATATTCACTTTATAGAACTTATTTTCAAATAAACACGAAAATTGGTAATTTGAGATAGATGTGATAGATATTAACGCTTATTTTATCCATCAAGCAAGGTGTTGCCTGGCTCTAATGCTTCCCAAACGTTTACTAAGGATACCTTCATAGTAAATTTCTCAACAGACCGAAAATCTTTCATATCAAATATTTCGCAGCCCTGCATACCTGCGTCAAGACCATATCATATTATTTTATTTTTTCAAGTTTTTTGAAACTATATGACACCAGCTGTCGGCGCACTTGCTCACCTTGTGTCCTCTCTCCGCCAAGGTTGATATCAAAGGCTGAAGGATGGCATAGTGGCTTTTGTATATGGAGGCAGGAATGAACAAAATCTTGTAGGACTGAAGTGAAGGACCCAACCGCGAGTTGATTTGACGAGTCATGTTGCTTATGGCCGTAGTTTCGACCAACAATGTGGCCAATACCACCAACAGCATCGCCTGGCGTGAAAAATTATATTGGAGAGTTTAAATTAGTATACGTTGATATGAAACATATTAGAATACGGTGAGATGTAACGTATTAAAATGTGGTGAAAGGTAACGTATTCGTACACGGTGAGAGGTAATGCATTAGTGTACGGTGAGAGGGAAGGTATTAGTATACTGTGAGAGGTAGCGTATTAGTATACTGTGAGAGGTAGCGTATTAGTACACGGTGAGAGGTAACGTATTAGAGTACGGTGAGATGTAACGTATAATATAATACGGTGAGATGTAACGCATTAGTTTGCGGTGGTAGGTAACTACTTATAATATGATGAAATTATTATGAGTATACGGTGAGAGGTAACGTATTAGTATAATGTGATAGGTGACGTATTAGCATACGGTGAATATTTTGATACATTCAGTTGAGATTTGTCTTTCGATATTTTGATGATGGGCTTTGTTTCGATCACTGTTACTGAATTTGAATTTTATTTACACGATTCATTGTATAAACTTGATTATTCATATGCGGTTGTGAGAAGATGCTTCTCGCTCTTCTTTGATAGCACTCTTCACTGTCTCCACGCACAATTGATGGAACTCTTCACTGTCTCCACGCACAATTGATGGAACTCTTCACTGTCTCCACGCACAATTGATGGAACTCTTCACTGTCTCCACGCACAATTAACTGTCTCCACGCACCTTTGACAGCACTCTTCACTGTCTCCACGCACAATTGATGGAACTCTTCACTGTCTCCACGCACAATTGATGGAACTCTTCACTGTCTCCACGCACCTTTGACAGCACTCTTCACTGTCTCCACGCACTTTTGACAGCACTCTTCACTGTCTCCACGCACCTTTGATAGCAATCTTCACTGTCTCCATGCACGCACCATTGATACCGCTCTTTATTGCAAATACCTTCTATTGTTTGCCTTTTCCTTGTTTTTATTATTTATTCATCATTGTTCATCAATCATTCGTCACTTCTCTGTTTAAACACTCTTCATTGCGTATACTTTTCACAGTATGCGCTCATCATTGCTTAAACGCAAAATTTTTTCAATTCCACCATTACCTATACAATTAATAGTATATTCTACACTATTGATACGTTTCAGTGCTTATTGATTCAGTTATCCATTATTCTCTGTTATAATCATCATTATCTTCTTCTGCAAATTCCCACATTGTTTACTTCTGTGCCGGTTGGTTATTTTCATTACTTGCAGGTAGTTTCTTGCTTAACCCTCTACCCTTATGAGTCACATACCAGTCCCTCTTCGGGAGCATAACTTTCAACTCAAACTATACGTAAACTATTCAGTGTAGCAACCTGAGGACGTTTGTACGCAACAGTGAACATTTTTAAGTTGTCGTACGTGCCGGCAACCATCAGTGCAAGTCAGTTTGCGATCACTAGAACGCATCTTTTACATGCAGTAGGCTTGTGACAATATTGCTCTGGTTACTCATGTCAGACGGTATAGAGGGTTAAGTAGTCCATATAATAATTCTTTCTAAATATACTTGTATATGCTGTCAGATCCTACGGCGATCGCATGACACACATTGAAGCAACAATGTTATATGAACGTGGAAAAGTTCTGATCTGACTTCATATTGAAAGTATTTTCACCATCACCACATTGCGAGTGAATGGGCATTTTAAGTAGCATGAACAATTTGAGCATATTATAATACCGATATGTTTTTAGCGCATTTTCTCATTTATGGACAAAATGCACTATTGTGCTCGCCATGTCCGTCTGTCTGTCTGTCCGTCCGTCTGTCCGTCACCTCAAGTTTTCGTTGACGAGAAAATGCGCTCTCTGTCACTCACTGCTGTGAGTACTGAGTTATATTTTTTAAACCTTCGTCTGAAGAGTAAACTTTTGAAGACGTAGAAATATCAGACGGCAAAGAAATATGTGACTGGCCATGACATACGCCTTGCTTATCTCAGAAATGCATTTCTTATTATTTAGGTACACATCTCGAACGTTATTTATTTTTAATTACCTTGTCGGATCAGCTAATAATTAAATTTATTATTGCTATTTATGTAAGTCCTAGACAAAATGTTACAGTTTATTGTCAACGTCCTTTACGCGCAACATCTATTTAATATAACGTACATAACCATACTGTATACTTATTAACATCGAATAGTTTTTTATATTTCTAGTCTCAGTATGTTCTTACATATGATGCAGCTCGTAAGATTATGCACTCAATTAAGAAATAACACAAAGTCAGGCAAAAAAAAACAATTGTTCAAGTCATCATTCGAGTTTTGGACTGCAGAAAAACAGAGTTCCAATTATTATCATTACAAATTGGCCGCCAAATACCAGGAATTTTGAAGCGTTAGATTTTTTTCAGTTGGCACATTTTGGATCATTGTGAGAAAAAAATCGCATTCGTCCACCGTGCCCTTATTTTTCATCTTGGGCTACAGAAAAATTAAAAGTTTTTTTATGAGCGCTTGATCACTGCAAGCGCATACTTTGTATACTCTGTAAAACTTGTGCGTTGGTTCCAACAATTCACAAGCACACATTAATTGGACCCATCATATTTATAAAACATGATTTGCTTACTTTATTTTTTCTATGCTTGATTTTGTTGATATTAAGAAGACGTGATAATACAAATTAAATAATTTGTGAATAAATCGAAACCATGATGGTGGCCCATACCAAGAAAACCAGCATTTTCTACACATAGGCTGTATATTGTGACTATACAAGTAATAATGTCACTAGATTGCTTGAATAGCAGATTCACTAGAAATTTAAAAGCAAAGAAAACTCCACAAAAAAATCAGCATTTTTCTATTGAAAACGTTTCGGAGACCAGCTCCATCGCCAGTTCGATAAATTTAGAACACAAATACAGTCAGAAAATTAATAAAGTTTGAAGTAAAAAAAATAACAGAAGTTAAAACCTAAATTTACAGGCTAAGGGCAGAATAATAAAGAAATACCTATCTATTCACAATTTCTAATGGGTAGGAACTGTAGGCTGCATTTAAACTAAGCTTCTCTTTAAAAAATACTTAAAAAAAACTTTTTTAAAAACCACGTTTTTCTTATGGACTAAAAAGTAGAAAATAAATTATGTCTCGCCCCAAAAGACGTGTGTCGGGCAATCACAAGAAGTCCACAAGAAAAACGTGTTTTTTAAATTTTTTTTAAGTATTTTATTTTCTCCTTTTTAGTCCGTTGCTACACATGAAAAAAGTTGTTGCGAGCCAATTTACTTGACTTGACGTAAGTATCGATGATACGCAGCGTATCATCGATATACGCAGTCTAAACACGAATATCCTCTCGAGGATGACGTGCATTAAAGGTTTCAACCCCTGCTTGTGAAAAATATACAATGATTCCAAAATGCGCAGATCGGAAGCACCAGAACTATAAGCTAAAAGCTTAAAGTATGTGACGGACACCGGAACGTTGCACTGTTCGGTGTGAGTGTGTACAGCCGAATGAGGAGGACACGATAGTAACTGCCCAGTCTTATAACTCTTCCTTTTATGCTCAGTGACCCTAGTGTAAAGGTTGCGTGCCGTCATCCCAACGTACGCAGATGCACATCGTGCACAACTAAATTTATAAACTAGGGACGATCGCATGTGAGAAGGGAGGATATCTTTGTACTTTAAAAAACGAACCTATTTTGAAATTGTTAACCAGAAAGATACGAAGATTAATGTCCGGAAAGTATTTTATAAACGAATATTTTAATTCTCTTGACATAACTTCGGACGCATGGCCGAAGTATGGAAAAGAACAGTAAACCAATTTTATATTATCAGGCTCTGGAACAATTTCACAGTATCGCTTAGACATGAATTTCTTAATCTGGGTAAACACCATGCCAGAAGGAAATCCATTAAGCGAGAAGACATTGCGCAAAAATTCAAATTCAGAATGTAGGGCATGGAAAGTCGAGCATATACGAGAGCCGCGGTGTAATATTGTGTGAAGCCCGTTTAACTTGAATCTAAAAGAACAGAAACTAAAAAAGGTGGTGCTGAGGCTGATGAAAGTTGATTTTCTGAAAACAGGTATTTGAAACGGCCATTAGATTTAGTAATATTGCAGTCTAGAAAGGACAAACTATTGTTCGATTCAAGTTCCATGGTAAATTTAATAGAATTATGTTGCAAGTTTAGGTAATCGAAGAAAAGTTTTACATGAGAGGGATGCTTGAAAATAAGAAAGGTGTCATCGACACATCTGTCATAAAATATTGGTTTAAAATCTGGAGGACAATTGATCAGCCATGAAACCTCGTGAAAACACATAAAAATATTCGCAATGGTTGGGCCGAGGGCAAGACCCATGCCCAAACCGTCAATCTGTCTGTAAAATTTACCAGCACATATGAAAATCGAATTTAGAACTTATAATTCCAGCAGGGATTTAAAAAAAATTCGGTTCAAACCAATAACAGTATCATGGATATCTTTAAACAAAGTATTTAGACAGATCTCAATAGTTTCAAAAAGAGGTATATTTGTAAATAAATTTTCCACGTCAAAAGAGGCCATTGTTAAGTCCTGAACATCAATAACATCAAAAGTATAGGAATTGTCTACTGTATACTGGTTAGTTGTAAGACAGTTTAAGACCGGAACTAAAAACTTAGCCAGTTTAAAACTAGGGCTATTATATGCTGCAAAAATTGGTAGGAATTGAAACTTTGAGGCAAAATCAGACTTATGAATTCTAGGTAAGCCATATAAAATCCCAGGGCATGAACCGGAGGCGTAAAGTTTAGAGTAAGTTTCAGAAGAAAAGGCCGACGAATCTTTCAGTTTTCGCAGAAAGTTATTGATTTTGTCTTCGATTTTCAAAATAGTTTTAGAGATGGGATCAGCAATTTCGACAAATTTAGAAGGATCGGTGATGAGTGCAGTAAGGCTACTTTTATATCGACTACGATCAACCAAAACAACGCCTCTACCCTTGTCAGGTTTACAAATTATCAAGTCTTTATTTTTTGCTAAGTTTTTCAATAATAGCGTGTCACTGGGCTGAAATACAGAAGAAAAAATTTTATATGACTTAAAGCCGAAAAAAACTCATTGACTGTTTGACTTATAACTTTCCTGAATGCTTCTGTAGACCATCTTGCATGTTGGCGGATAGCAAAGACTTCAAGGGTGGAAAACAAACGAGTTTTCCCACCCTAGTTTTAAACTGGCTAAGTTTTTAGTTCCGGTCTTAAACTGTCTTACAACTAACCAGTATACAGTAGACAATTCTTATACTTTTGTTGACCGCTTGAAAGATTTTACAGATGTTCAGGACTTAACAATGGCTTTTTTTGACGCGGAAAATTTATTTACAAATATACCGCTTTTTGAAACTATTGAGATCTGTCTAAATACTTTTTTTAAAGATATTCATGATACTGATATGGGTTTGAACCGAAATTTTTTTCAATCCCTGCTGAAATTCTAATTCCCTGCAGTTCTAAATTCGATTTTCATATTTGCTGGTAAATTTTACATATAGATTGACGGGTTGGGGCATGGGTCTTCCCCTCCGCCCAACCTTTGCGAATATTCTTATGTGTTTTCACGAGGTTCCATGGCTGGCCAATTGTCCTGATTTTAAACCAATTGTTTATAACAGATATGTTGATGACACCTTTCTTATTTTCAAGCATCCCTCTCATGTAAATCATTTCTTCGATTACCTAAACTTGCAACATTATTCTATTAAATTTACCATGGAACTTGAATCGAACAATAGCTTGTCCTTTCTAGACTGCAATATTACTAAATCTAATGGCCGTTTTCAAACATCTGTTTTCTGAATATCAACTTTCACAGCCTAAGCTTTTTTAGTTTCTATTCTTTTAGATTCAAGTTAAACGTGCTTCAAACACTATTGCACCGCGGCTTTCGTATATGCTCGACTTTCCATGCCATGCATTCTAAATTTGAATTTTTGCGCAATGTCTTCTCCCTTAATGGATTTCCTTCTGGCATGGTGTTTACCCAGATTAAGAAATTAATGTATAAGCTATACAGTGAAGTTGTTCCAGAGCCTGATAGTGGAAAAGTGGCCGTTTATTGTTCTTTTCCATACTTTTGCCATGCGTCCGAAGTGGTATGTCAAGAAAATCAAAAGATTTGTTTATGAAATACTTTCCGAGCTTTCCGAAATACTTTTCTCCGTTTTCTAGGTACAAAAATATCCTCCTTTCTTACATGCGATCGTTCCTAGTTTATAAATTTAGTTGTGCACGATGTGCATCTGCGTACGTTGGGATGACGGCACGCAACCTTTACACTAGGTTCGCTGAGCATAAAGGGAGGAGTTATAGGACTGGGCAGTTACTACCGCGCCCTTCTCATTCGGCTGTGCGCACTCACGCCGAAAAGTGCAACGTTCTGGCGTCCGACACTGACTTTAAGGTTTTAGCTTATAGTTCAGGTGCTTCCGATCTGATCATTTTGGAATCATTGTATATTTTTAAAGAGAAGCATAGTTTAAATGCTGCATACAGTTCTTATCCATTAGAAATTGTGAATAGATAGGTATTTCTTCATTATCCTGCCCATAGCCTGTAAATTTAGGTTTTAACTTCTGTTGTTTTTTTTTCTTTTGACTCCAAACTTTTTTTTATTTTTTGACTGTATTTGTGTTCTAGATTTGTCGAACTGACGATGGAGCTGGTCTCGGAAACGTTTTCAATAGAGAAATGCTGAATTTATGTAGAGTTTTCTTCGCTTTTAAATTTCTAGTGACTGTACAGGTGTTGATATACAGCGATTAGCTGGGCCTATAGGTGAAACAAAAAGGCCTTCATGTAAAACGTAAATCAACACAGAAGACGCTTTGCGGTCGAGTCTCTGCATGAGTTCAGTAAACAAGCATGCATAATTTTCCATTATCACGTTAGTTGCGTATATTAACATTCGTGTACTTCGCATAACACGCGTGCCCTGAAGTTACACGTGTATATTAACATTCCTGTACTTCGCATAACACGCGTGCCCTGAAGTTACACGTGTATATTAACATTCCTGTACTTCACATAACACGCGTGCCCTGAAGTTACACGTGCATATTAATATTCTTGTACTCCGCATAACACGCGTGCCCTGAAGTTACACGTGCATATTAATATTCTTGTACTTCGCATAACGCGCGTGCCCTGAAGCATCAGTGAGCAAAAATCGCTTGCAAAGACAAATTTTCACTATGTGGCCTCTGGTAGGCAATAAATAACATTAATACATTGCTTTAATGATCATTGCTATAGGCATCCATAAACTATATTGTACTTTTTTAACTTTTCATTTCACTGAATTAAATTTTTTTTTTCAATTGATGGCCCCAATTTCCGGTGAACGAAAACATTGACGGTGCGACTGAGACAGCCAATCAGAGCCCTGCAATACATTGTCTATTCGAGCCGTAGATTCATAAAATATATTGTTATATATAGATAAATATATAATGAAAATTAAAATCATATACATAAAATATATAATAAAATATTATCGTATATATATAAAATGAACAATAAATAAAATAATATTAAACATATAAAAGATTGCCCTTTCAAAAATTTAGAGAAATTTCTAAGAAATTTCTACACAATTTGTATGATCAGAGACCATGAACAGACTTCGGTTGAGGAACATTTACAATTACAAACTTATAAGGCTGCCCTTAACTTCTATTGAGCATTATTTGGATTGAAGTCAGTTTTCCAGCCATGATAAGTAGATTAAGGAAAAATTCGTTTCATTTGTACACAAGCACTTTGAGATGAAGATTTTGTTCAAACTAGATTTTATTACCTAATAACGGTCAAAAATTTGTAGTCCACTAAATTTTAGTTCTTAAAACAATATTCTAGTCATTACTGTTCCCATCCTCATTATTTAATGTTTAATTATTGAGATCGTCCGAATAAATCGATAAAACAATTGAAATTGTATGAATTTGTCAAGTTTCGTCTGTTTAAAATACCTTCATGTTGAATGGTCTGTAGGCACAAACTGTTACTCCAGAGCGTTGCAAACGACCACCGCCAGATGAGGGACGCTCAGCTCGACTGCTGCACGCTCTTGCCATCCACTCAACCCGCAGGTATTCGCGGAAAATTTTTTTCCAACACCTTGACCTACGTTACGCATGACACGTGCGATGCAACTTGAAAGTAACATTAGTCTATATAATACTATATTTTTATTTTAGGCATCAGTCTATTTAACTATTTTATTTTAGGCATTAGTCTATTTAACAACCATCATCGAAACTTTGATAAAATGATGAGAATTTCAGGAAGGTTTGGTGTGATGAGTATGATAAAGGAAGACTTTAATATTGGTGTCTTTGCTTTGCACACAGCAAGTATGAAATTCAAGTTAGAGGTACAAGGAAACCATGGAAAATTAAAATTACTCTTTACCTACTTATGTAAAAAATTTTCAGTCATGAAGTTCACCCATAAAAAGTTAACAAATTTTGACCTTCAATGCATAAACAGACTGATGGGGTCAGTCTGTTTTGTTAAGTCATGTTTTGAATATCTTAATAGTCGCGTCGATATCGAGCTTGAGGTTCTAATTATAATACGGATGGTGCGAGATCTCAGCTGTCATTTTTAAACGGAGGGATCAATATCTTATGTATTTTCATAAGGAAGGTGTGATATTTTAGTAGGCATCTTTCATACGGATGGTGTGTCATTTTTATTAGAATTTTCACATCGTTGGTGCGATAAACGCACGCATTTTCATACGGGTACGAATTCTGAATTCATCCCATTTCATGGGACGATACCCACCGCGTCGATATCGAGCTTGAGGTTCTAATTATAATACGGATGGTGCGAGATCTCAGCTGTCATTTTTAAACGGAGGGATCAATATCTTATGTATACGGAAAGTGTGATATTTTATAGTAGGCATATTTCATACGGATGGTGCGACATTTTTATTAATTAGAATTTTCACATCGTTGGTGCGATAAACGCACGCATTTTCATACGGGTACGAATTCTGAATTCATCCCATTTCATGGGACGATACCCTAACGGGCATTATAGCATACGAATTGTGTTACCATCGTCGTATCCTTTTTCATACAATTTTTTTCTTGCGACCGGATTGTGCTGTATTAATCTCATTGCTCAGCATTCATTTTATATTTCATCTCATTATTCAGTATTAGTTTATATATTTTCTCACTATTCAGTTTTCCGAACTACTAAATGATTAGACTGGCCACTTACTGTATGTTCAGTCGAACCGCGTAATGTATGGTAGTTTTATTTATTTATTTTTTTAAAGAGCAACACCGATGGGTTTTACCAAACATCATGAGATTTGCAGAAATAAGTGAAAAGTTTTCACAATGGAATTACGTATATTCATCTTACGGAGTTCCCTAATAACTATACAGGGCATCACATAAAAACATGTCTGTCCAGAGCCTGGAAAAACCCCCAAAAAAGGTCGACATGCGGAACACACGTTTTTTGAAGCCTCAATCGACGCATGTATAGCTGCATGTGTATTATTTGAATATATACTTCATTTAGTTGTTAGCTTCTCTGTGTAGCTTTTAACCTCGTTTTACTAATAATTGGCTGAACGCTAACTGAGTTTCAAATACTGAAGTCTGTACTGCTAGTTGGTGAACAAACTGTCTCTTGTATAACATTTTCTGATTTCTTCGGCTATTCAAAGTTCACACATTTCCTTGGCTGTTCCCACGTCTTACATTGTGTCCATTTTTTTGCCTATTCTAATTTAATAAACTCAAAATTCTCGTCTGTTGGTCCATCCCAAGTTCACGTGTTAAATTAGCCTCTTATATATTTTTATTATATTCTCATTTTTTCGGCTGCTCCTAGTTCACATACTATTCCCACTTCTTTGGTTGTTCCAACTCCTTATCATATATATTCTTATTTCTTCGGCTGTTCCAAGGCGCTGTTCCAGCTCCTCATGTTATTCATTTTTCTTCGGCTGTTCCAAGTGCACATATTACCCAACCAAACCACAAAAATCTTCTGCTTCTTTACTACTGTTGAGAAGATGCGTTGAAATTCCTTCATAGCCAAGAGTTTAGTCGAAACACATATATTAAACATGTCACTTACTGAGACGCCTACGGCCCGAAAATTTCTCTCTCTGTACGAGATTCGCGTGTACGCTTCAGAACCGTAATTCCGTATGTCATGGTTGCAGACTCAATATATAATGAAGTAAAATGCTGCAAGCACTCACACTAAAGCTATGGAAATAGTTTCTATGGAACAATATGCAGCACAAGAGAGGAAGTAGAGGAAGGAGTTGGAACAACCAAAGAAATGGGAATAGTATGTGAAGTGAGAACAGCCAAAAAAGTGAGTATATTGGAAAAATTTATATGAGGCTAATTTAACGCATGAACTTGGGTGGTCAAACAGACGAGAATTTTGTGTTTATTAAATTAGAATAGACAAAGAAATGGACACAATGTGAGACGTGGGAGCAGCCAAGGAAATGTGTGAACTTTGAACAGCCGAAGAAAAAGGAATATGTTATAAAAGAGACCGTTTATTCACCAACTAGCAGTACAGACTTCAGTATTTGAAACTCAGCTAGACTTTAACCAATTATTAGTAAAACGAGGTTAAAAGCTAAATGAAGAAGCTAACAACTAAATGAAGTATATATTCAAATGATACACGTGCAGTTATACATGCGTCCATTGAAACTATATATAGGCTTCAACAAACGTGTGTTTCGCATGTCGACCTTTTTTTGGAGGTTTTGCCAGGCTCTGGACAGACATGTTTTTGTGTGATGCCCTGACTAGTTATTAGGGAACTCCGTAAGATGAATGTACGTAATTCCATTGTGAAAACTTTTCACTTATTTTTGCAAATTTCTTGGTAAAACCCATCAAATTTCCATAAAACCCAAAACCCATGCAAATTTGGTAAAACCCATCGGCATTGCTCTTAAAAAAAATAAACTGCCATAGGAACGCGGTACGACTGAACATACAGTAAGTGGCCAGTCTAATCCTTTAGTAATAACGAATACTGAATAGTGAGGAAATATATAGAATGAATGCTGAAAAATGATAAGAAATATATAATGAATGCTGAGTAATGAGAATAATACAGCATGATCCGGTCGCAAAAAAATTCTATGAAATATGAAAATGGAAACGACGATGGTAACACAATTCGTATGCTATAATGCCCGTTAGTGTATCGTCCCATGATATGGGGCGAATTCGTACCCGTATGAAAATGCGTGCGTTTATCGCACCAACGATGTGAAAATTGTATATAATAAAAATGTCGCACCATCCGTATGAAATATGCCTACTATAAAATATCACACTTTCCGTATGAAAATGCCTAAAAATATATTGACCTCTCCTTTTAAAAATGCCAGCGGAGATCTCGCACCATCCGTATTATAATTAGAACCTCAAGCTCGATATCGACGCGGCTATTAAGATATTCAAAACATGACTTTTAAATAAGATACCCCGTCGGTCCGTATTAGCATCGAAGGTAAAATTTTGTTTAATTTCTATATGTGAACTTCATAAATGAAAATTTTTTACATGAGTAGGTAAAGAGTAATTTTAATTTTTTAAGATTTCCTTGTATCTCTAACTTGAATTTCATACTTGCTGTGTGCAAAGCAAAGACACCAATATTAAAGTCTTCCTTTATGATACTTTTCGTCACACCAAACCTTCGTGAGATTTTCATCATTTTATCTTAGTTCCGATGATGGTTGTAAATAGACTAACACCTAAAAAGATAAAGTATTATATAGACTAATGTTGCTTTCAAGTAGCCTCGCACGTGTCATGCATAACGAAGGTCAATGTGTTAAATAAAAAAAAAATTCCGCGAATACTTGCGGGTTGAGGCCGTAGAAGTAGATTGTAGAGCGTGCAGCAGTCGAGCTGAGCGTCTCTCATCTGGCGGTGGTCGTTTGCCACGCTCTGGAGTAACAGTTTGTGCTCACAGACCATCCAACATGAAGGTACTGTATTTAAGAAAGACAAATAATAAAGGTATTTAATACTTGACAATTTATGTTAATTATATGGCATAAAGGTATTTAAGAAAGACCGACATGAAGGTATTTAAGAAAGACATATATTAAAGGTATTTAAGACTTAACAAATTTATAATGATTATCCGACATGAAGGTATTTAAGAAAGAGATCCGACAAATTTATGCTGATTATCCGACTTTAAGGTATTTAAGAAAGACAAATATTAAAGGTATTAGACTTGACAAATTTATAATGATTATCCGACATAAAGGTATTCAAGATAGAGACTTGAAAAACTTTGTTTTGATTATCCGTCATGTATGTATTTAAGAAAAAGACTTGACAAATTTTCTCTGACCATCTAGCATGAATGCATTGTAAACAGAGACTTGACAAATTCAGACAATTTCAATTTTATTATCGATCTATTCGATTAATTGCAATTATTATATAATCATTCAATTAAGGAGTGATGGGACCAATAATGATTAGAATATTGGTTTAAAAAACTGAAATTTAGTGGACTACAAATTTTTGACCGTTATTAGGAGAAAAATTTAGTTCGAACAAATTATTCATCTTAAAGTGCTTGTGTACATATGAAACGAATCTATTTTGCCTTAATCTACTTATCAGCAGAGCTGGGCAGCGCTACTTTGAAAAGTAGAGGCGCTACCGCTACCGCTACATATGCTCTAAATGTAGCGGGCGCTGCCGCTACCGCTACACCCACTAGATTGTAGCGAGCGCTGTTGCGGGAGAGCTATCAACATGTATATGCTATCCGTCCATTATGTCCGCGATAGTGAAAAATGATTTAAAACCTTATTCGATCAGAGTTGAGACTTTGCAAGATTTTATTGCGTAGCTATAAAAAGGTACATTAGCTGGCCCACTCCCAAAAAGTAATTATCTTACTACCAGTATAGTCTCAAGCCAAGCAACACAAATAACCTAATGTCAAACAAATACATTGGTCATGCTTGGCCGCCCTGACGTCTTCTGCGAATCTTCTTCAAATCTATGAAGGTTCGTAACATGTCCGTCGAGACTATATAGAGTGCGTCACACTAACGTAGTAGACCTAAGCGCATCCGCTTATCACAGTCATTGCCTGACGAAGTTTTGGGCTGCCAGTGTCCAATCCAGAAATTCAGCGATGGTCACGGTTACATTCACCAATGCAGAACACTAGACACCCTTTCTTCTCATTCAGAGTAGGTCCAGGTACGTAGGTAGACTTATAATAGAAAGAGCCCACTTCCACCTGAAATAATCAACAATTGCACGGGAAAATAAATGGGAAGTTTACCCTAAAATTGCAGGAACAGAGGAACTCAATTGGGGAATATATCAGAATTGATCTAAGGAACACGAGGTAAAATATATAAATTGAACTAATTAACTTTCCAGCCAATGGTGTTATCGCAGTACTTTATAGCAGCATAAACAAGGAAGACAAAATTCTTACTATCGGCTAATAAGCTTACCCGCCACTCAAAAAGAAATCGTGAGAGGTACAATGGTTGCAACAAGTGAATAGACATGAAAAACAGGTAGTTGAGGCTAAAAAATTAACGACATTCAACTGAATACACGTTACGAAGTCATGGCCACCGCAACCGCAACCGCTGAGCGAATAAAATAACCGGGAGTCAACGCAGCCCACTCTACACGTTGCCAGCGTGAACCTGGTAAACAAATGACGGACGAATAGCGCAGCTACAGCGCTACCGCTACCGCTACAGCAAAAAATGTAGCGCCGCTACGTTAGCTGCTACAATGGCCAAAATTATTGGAAATCTCTAATTATTTATGGTTCTGCTATTGGGATTTACTCATAGACATTTAATGATAATAAAACATTTTCAAAACATATCAATGCAACTTTATTGCAATTAACCTAACCGAACTAGTACGGGTTATATAGATACAGTAAATAAAAGTTACAGTTATTTTTATGTTTTACCTTCCCTACATGGATGTGTACTTTAATCTACCAATCTAAAAAATTATCAACATATACTTATAAAAAATCAGTCTTTTATTTGAATATATATATGTGGATTATTTTTGCGATTGGTAGATTGAAGTAGACATCCATGTAGGGAAGGTGAAACATAAAAATAACTGTGTAAAAATAACTAAGCAAACTGAAACATGAAAAAATACCTGTAAGTGGTAACTGGAAACAACTTAACAAGTAACAACTAACATGTTGACACCAGTAACAGGCTGAGGTTGACAACATTACACTGAAATCTTTCGTACAGTTTTATTCCGTAATTTATATTATGTATGTATCATGCTGGTTTTTAAATAATATTTAATACTATTAAGGAAAATCTAAAGGCTTTATCTATAAATGTAGCGGTAGCGCTGTAGCGTCAAAACCTCGTATCGCTACTTAAATATGTAGCGGGCGCTACCGCTACCGCTACAACGTTATGCGAAGTACAAGAATATTAATATACACGTGTAACTTCAGGGCACGCGTGTAATGTGAAGTACACTATATTAATATACACGTGTAACTTCCAGGCACGCGCGTTATGCGAAGTACAAGAATATAATATACACGTGTAACTTCAGGGCACGCGTGTTATGTGAAGTACAAGAATGTTAATATACACGTGTAACTTCAGGGCACGCGTGTTATGTGAAGTACAGGAATGTTAATATTACACGTGTAACTTCCAGGCACGTGCGTTATGTGAAGTACAGGAATGTTAATATATACGCAACTAACGTGATAATTGAAAATTATGAAGGCTTGATTACTGAACTCATGCAGAGTCTCACTGCAAAGTGTCTTCTGTGTATATAGTATTTGTTTCACAAATAGGCCCTGCTTATCGCTGTATTTCAACACTTGTTGCCCAAAGTAGTCAAAATGTAGAAAATGTTGGTTTTCCTTGGTATGGGTCAACATCATGGTTTCGATATAATCATAAATGATTTCATTTGTATTAGTACGTCTTCTTAATTAATATCAGCAAAATCTTGTGCAGAAAAAGTAAAGCAAGCAAATCATGCTTCATAAATTCGATGGCTTCAATTAATGCGTGCTTGTGAAGTGTTGGAAACAACGGACACGTTTTACAGAGTATACAAAATATGAACTTGCATTACCAAGTACTCATAAAATAACTCTATTTTTCTGTTTTACATTCTGCGGATGAGAGAAAGTAATACAGTATGTTAATATATTCATCAATTTCTAAAGCGTAGTACTAAAATGAAGATCCTAAGTTCGAAGTGGGCTGGTGAGTTTTTCTTCTCTCAGTGGTCCAAAATGTCATGAGCGCGAGAAATGTTAACTTTTTAAAACACATCTATTTAACTTCACTTTTTGTCTATCTGCTACAAATCTTATAATCAATATTTAACACACTACCAGTCCAATCGATCTGAAATTTCGCACACTTGTGTTAAGTCGGAGGCAATGCATGAATCAATTGACAGAATAAACAATTTTGAAAAAAATTTATATTTTAAAAAATTGAAAAATCAATTTTTGTAATATTCAAAAATAAACTGAGAAATTCATTTTACATCTTTAACATTGGAGACACTGGATTTTGTTTGCTACAAATAATTTTGTCTGCTACAAATTTTATAATCGATATTTAACACACTTCCACCTGTCCAATCGATCTGAAATTTTGCACACTTACGTAAAGTCGGAGACAATGCATGAATCAATTGACAGAATAAGTCAATTTGAACATTTAATTTTGTTTAATATTAACAAAAATTTAAAATTATATATTTTTTAATAGATGAACATAAAATTAGAAAATCATTGTACATGTGTAACATAGGAGACACTTTCTTTAATAAGTAATTTTTAACCGCATATTATTTATTAGGCCATCTGAAAAAACTCTAACGCTTCACAATTCAGTGGAATTCGGTGGCCAATTTTTGATGATAGTTCTTGGAGCGATTTTTTATGCAATTCAAAACTCGAAAGATGACTTGTACGGTTGTTCACTTTTTACCTACAAAGACATGAAATATAAGAACATACTGAGACCAGAGATTTAAAAACAGGTTAATGTGAATCAATATACAATATGGTTGTGTAAGCTTTTTTTAATAGATTGTCGCTCGTGAAGGACGCTGACAATATACCTATCGTAACATTTTAACGAGGACTTACGTAAGTCGCAATAATAAACTTAAATATTAGCTGATCTGACAAGGCAGTTAAAATAAAGAACGTTCGACATGTGTACCTATATTTAGAAATGCATTTCTGAGATAAGCAAGGCGTATGTCATGGCCAGTCACTTTTATTTTTGCCGTCTTATATTTCTATGTCTTCAATAGTTAACTCTTCCAGAAGAAAGTTACAGAAAACATATTAGTATTATCAATGCGTATCATGCGTTCGCCGTAGGATCTGACCTGCAAATACAATTATATTGAGAAATAATTATTATTGTGGACTACTTAAGCAAGGAAGTACCTGCAACTAATGCAAATAACCAAGCGGCACAGAAGCAAGCAATACAGGGTCCGCCATATTTATGGCAACGTATGTTTTTTGTTATTTCTCAATGAAACAAGCAGGTGCGTTGTTTTTTTATTGGATGAGCAAGTAGCCAAGAATTACCTAAACAATTCTCAGACATATTTATTCAATATGACCACCCTTATTTTTAATGACGGCCTTCAATCTGCGCGGGAAAGCTTCACAGGAGACACGTACTCAGCATTTCTTGAGGGATCAAGTTCCATTCTCGTGTCAATTTAGACTTTAAACTATTCAAAGAATCATGAGGTGTTCTGAAGACCCTACTCTTTAAAATACCCCACACAGAAAAGTCGAGAGGATTCAAATCAAGGCTTCTTGAGCGCCATTCATTTTTGCTAATGAACGCTGTGATGTGACCCTGAATCCAGTTTTGGGTCATGTTTGAGTCATCTGACGGGGCAGAGTCTTGTTGAAAACTCCATGGTGAGCCGTTGAAGTGTTTACGGGTCGAAAGTAACAACACAGCTTCCAAAATGTCTGAAATGTATCGATGACTGTTCAATTTCACTCCTGAGGGGACAAAAATGAGCGGGGACCTCCCAGTGGTGGTTACCGCGGCCCAAACCATCGCGGACATGGGATTTTGAAGTCGGGTTGCTGTTCTGGTTGCCACAGATCCATTCCGACTCCAAACTCTGTCATTTTGACGGTTAACGCTTTGTTCAATGTCAAATTTTTTCTCGTCACTGAACACCAAGTTGGGCAGGGTGCCATCCTCAATGAGATCCAGAATGTGCTGGCATCTGTCGAGACTCATTCGTTCATGACGGCCTGTTAGTTCATGCCTTGTTTGCATCTTGTAAGGGGAGGTTTTGAGGTCATCTTTGAGGACTCTATACGCATTGATGTCTGACTGACTCCTGCTTCTGCAGCCAATTTTGCAGCTGAGCGACGAGGGTTTCTCCTCAACTTCTACCTCGTGTTTTTGACCACTTCTTTTGTTCGGACACTTCGTTTTCTTCCTTGACCAGGTCGATTGCATGTTTCACCAGTTTCCTTGAATATTTTACCACCTTCCACGCAGTTTCACGACGAATTTGGAGCTTTTTTTTGCAATGACTGAATTGCTCTCGCTTTTTTCATGAAGGGTTACAATTGCATTTCTATCTACTGCCATAAGTAATAGTAAATTTAGACACCTTAGACTTCTGCAATATAAAATAGATGAATTAATAGATGATATAAAGCTTCATTATGAAAGAAAAGTCTCCTGGAAACCAATTTATTTTATATAGCAAACATCCGTTGCCATAAAATATGGCGGATGCAAAGTACATGTTCATTAGTTATTGTCTAGTTATTCTTCATTAGTTATTGACGCATGCCAATTGTATTGAAATTTGCAGAAGATAATGATGATGATGAAAACAGAGAACAATGGATAACCGAATCAGTAAGCACTGATGAGTACCTATTAACAGTGTAGAATATACTATTTACTGTATAGGTAATGGTGCAACGCAAAAAAATTGTGTGTTTTAGCAATGATTAGCGCATACTGTGTAAAGCATACGCAATGAAGAGTGTTTAAACTGAGAAGTGATGAATGACTAATGAACAATGATGAATGAATAATAAAAACAATGACGGGGGCAAATAATAGAACTTTAGAAGGTATTTGCAATTAAGAGTGGCATCAATGGTGCATGCATTGAGAGATTGAAGAGTGGTATCAATGGTGCGTGGAGACAGGGAAGAGAGCTTTCGATGGTGCGTGGAGACAGTGAAGAGTGCTTTCAATGGTGCGTGGAGACAGTGAAGAGTGCTTTTAATGGTGCGTGGAGACAGTGAAGAGTGCTTTCAATGGTGCGTGGAGACAGTGAAGAGTGCTGTCAAAGGTGCATGGAGACCGTGAAGAGTTCCATCAATTGTACGTGGAGGCAGTGAAGAGTGCTATCAAAGAAGAGCGAGAAGCATTTACTTACAACCGCATATGAATAATCGAGTTTATGCAATGAATCGTGTAAATAAAATTTAAATTCAGTAACAGTGATCGACACAAATTCCATCAGCAAAATATCGAAAGACAAATCCCAACTGAATGTACCGAATTATTCATCGTATGTTAAAACGGACCTCTCAGAATTTACTAATACGTTACCTCTCACCGTGTACTAATACGTTCCCTCCCACCGCATACTATAATACGTTACATCTCACCGTATTCTAAAGGCCCGTTTCCACTACGGGACTGATTCTGAAGGATTGAGACTGGCCTGAGACCAATAAGCCACATAGCTGGGCCTCAAAACTGGCGTGCGCGTTTCTACTACACGCGTGTGCTGGGATTGAGACTGACCGTCTGGGCTACTGCACTCGCTGGCCTTTGAAGAAAGATTATGCTGCCGCTCATGCTTTACTAGCTGTTGTCACTATGCACAGGAGGAAACAAAGATCTATTTACCTAATAGCAGTTATGAAACGCAAGAATGGTTTCAAACTTCTCATTAACATAGTTTATCCGTGTAATAACATTCACCAAGGGATTAAGAAACAGCATTATCTTATTATACCTTTAATGCTGTCTCTTATACACATCTAGATGTGTATAAGAGACAGGCCCAGGGGTGGGGCAATGGGCCCATTTTGACACTTTTTACAAAATAGTGTTTCATTAAAAATTGAATAACTCTATAGGCGTCTAATTCACATCATACATTCCTCATTAGTTGCACCTTTAAACAAAACAAAGAACCACCTCGTATCAATTAAAACTTCATCAAAAATTTAGTTTAAAAAAAGTGGGGGGCGCGCTGCCCCACGTTACCCTACTATTTACTGAGTATACATACACTGTAAGCACAATAAGATTAATTTAGATTTTTAATTGACGGACGAGTGAATCCATGTTAATAAACAGATAAAATCTGTTAATAAGAAGTTAGGAAGTATTATTTTCATCGATGTTCGTGGATGGATCTAATTTCTCCATCTCCTTACTTATTTTTTCTAATTCTTAAATTCGAAAGACTATCTTTGTAAACAGAACTTCTTACTTGCCATAAGCATGGTGCCTCTCTATATAAATCGATAAGCATTTCAGTAGCATCTCTGCTCCACCCTCCGTCGTGTGACATAGTTAAACAAAAAGCGAAGAGGCAGGCAATGGTGCGTCTATTGGAGCGTCAGCCCGACACACAACCTACTGGAGCGGCAGTCACAGCGACACTGCTTCACACGGCCACTGCCCCTTGCCCGTCACGCAAGTCTAGCCAAAGATTGAACAGGGGTTGAACACCCGTCACGAGTCTGGATGGTCGGGACTGCCTCAGTCCGGACTGGAAAAGCCAGTTTTTCAGGCGTCAGTCTCGCAGAGTCTCGTAGTGGAAACGGGCCTTAATAGTGGAAACGTATAGTGGAAACGGGCCTTAATACGTTACATCATTACATATCACCGCATTCTAATACGTTACATCTCACCGTACTGTAATATGTTACCCATCAACGTATACTAATTTAAACTCTCCAATATCATTTTTCATGCCAGGCGATGCTGTTGGTGGTATTGGCCACATTGTTGGTCGAAACTACGGCCATAAGCAACATGACTCGTCAAATCAACTCGCGGTTGGGTCCTTCACTTCAGTCCTACAAGATTTTGTTCATTCCCGCGTCCGTATTCAAGAGCCACTATGCCATCCTCCAGCCTTTGATATCAACCTTGGCGGAGAGAGGGCACGAGGTGAGCAAGTGTGCCGACAGCTCGTGTCATAAAGTTTCAAAAATAAAATAATACATGTTTTTGACCAAGTATGCAGGGCTGCAAAATATTTTTATATGAAGGATTTTCGTTCTGTTAAGAAATTTACTTCAACTTAATTCAGTTCTTGGTATCCTTAGTAGGGTAACATGGGGCAACAGGACCACTGTGAGTCACGGGCCCATAGAGGGTTTCCGCGCAAAGTATGGCAGATATTGGGCCGTGCGCTCTAACCGCCTGTCGACAGTTTCACTGGAATGAAGTGTGTGGTTCTATGTTTTGCTTAAGCTTGCGTTGATAAGTTATTCGCAAATAACTGTTTTAGCCCAGATAAAAGTTTTTTGCTGCTAAATAAAAATAAAATTGTTCCCGATTGCTCTGTATGAAGCTTTCGAAATTACTGTGAATTATATTTTGAAAGTATTATTTTTAGGGATAATTTTTAGTCAAGTTTAGACTATTAGCTTTTAAAATAAAATGTTGACACGATATAAATTGAAATGATACCTAGTGGGGCAACGGGCCCATGCGTGTCAAGGGGCAAAGCGCCCATGGTGGGCTCAATATCCCTCTGTAAAGTCTTGTTATACATCATTAGATTTGTCTCAATGAGCTTCTAAAAACTATGACTAGCTTTTTGAATTACAAATTAAACGTCATATCCTATGAATTTTTTTGATTCGCCGCCTCAAAGCAGCAGGTTCTAGTTTCTAGTTATGCGTATTTATGACCCCGTATCGAGTTATTGACGCATGCCTTGCCAAAAGTAGATTTCAGCAATCACCAATTAGCCAAAAGCTGATGAGTTTTTATGGTGTTGGCTGAAATCATGATTAAGTACGAATCCCATGCACATTAAATCTGGATTATGGACAAAACTGGAACTAAGTTTTTCTGATCCAGTAAATATATCTTTTCTAGTCAAGGATACATTTTTTCATGTCAAGGAGGTATTTTTTATGGCAAGGATATATGTTTAGGGTCAAGGATGTATATTTTTGTGTCAAGGAAATATTTTTATTTTTTTTATGTCAGTCATAGATCTATTAAGCCAGGAATATATTATTTTCATGTTAAGGATATGATTTTTGAGTTAGGAATGAATGAATGAATGTAATATTTTTAATACATTTTTCTTATTTTGAAATGTAAAGCGTTGATTTATCATTTTTAAACAAAAAATATGCAATTGTGGTAGAGGGACCAAGGGTGGGCGCCTTGCCCCAAGCCCATTTTGACATTTATACCAAATAGTGTTTCAGTAAAAATTTAATAACTCTATAGGCGTCTAATTCACATTATACATCCGTCATTAGTTGTAACTTTAAACAAAACAAAGAACCACCTCGTATCAATTGAAACTTCATCAAATTTTTTATTTAAAAAGGGGGGGAGGCCGCTGCCCTATGTTACCCTAAGCGTTTGGCAAGAAATAGTGACATGCCACACCTTTCTAGATGGATAAAATAAGCTTTAATATCTATCACATCTATCTCAAATTAACAATTTTCGTGTTTAATTGAAAATAAGTTCTATAAAGTGAATATCCCTCATGAGTAAGGCTGAATATGTACGACCAAACAGGGAGTTTTATGGAAATGTTGGTGTCGCAGAAGACTTATATCCTAAATAGAAATTGAAAGTGCCTATAGTTCGATTATCAAATAATGTTTATAACCGGAAAATACATTATCATCCGATATATATGATTGTATTTTATAGCTGTTTTTTCGTGTGTAGTAAACGCAACTTGAACTTACAGGTCTCCGTTCTGAGTCACGTCTACCTCAGTCAACGTCATCCTAACGTCTCGTACTACGACTATGAATATGATTTGGACGATTTTTTCAACATGGATCATTTCAGAAATACTTACGAAACTGCAAAATGCGTCCGAGACATCGCTAATTTCACCAGACACTTTGCTACGAAGATCTACGATGACCCGGTCGTGAAAAATATCATTGCCAAAAGGAACGAGTTCGACCTAGTCATCTCTGACCAGTTTGCTTTTTTGGTAAATTTCGAATTAGTTTGAATTATACAAGAATTGACCGTAATTTTTGTATAAAGCTCATAAATTTGAATTTTTGTGCTATTTTATGTCCGATCGTTAAATATAAGAGAGCCGTCCATTACTACAACAGCTCTAAAACGAGAGTCGAGCTTCAAAAATGAATGCAAAAAAAAAAAACTATGCAGAATACGGCGCTTAATAGAAGGTCGTATCATATGATAATAAATTCGGTACAGCACAGGAGCTCCTTGGGAAAACCGACGACCAATACGACTTTAGATTGTAAATATTTCAAACATAGAATCATTTAACCGTCCGCATATGGACAGTAGCTGTTGTTTGCATATGTTTATATTCTAATGAAGCTGACGATTATGAATGTATTCGTCGCCATATTTAAATTATATAATTACGTCGATCACTGCATCGTACTTTTTGTTGCTTGAGTGCAATATCGTTCATTAATTATAACCTCGTTAATTAATAAATTTGGTAATTTTAGCCCATCCCAATTTGCGTCTCCACATAAGTCACTGCGGACTGAGTAGCATGCAAGAATCGATCTACCACGTAGTGCCCATACTCTGCTTGCCCATCCTGGGTGACAACTACAAGACCGCACCTTTTGTACAAGACGAAGGGATCGGAATGAGCTTATCTTGGCTTACACTTACTGAACAAACGCTCAACGAGTCCATTCACACTATCATCAATGATAACAGGTAAGTTTGTAGATTTTCTATGATTCATATAAATCTTTAAACTAATAGTTCGCTCATACACTCGCGTCCAAAGGCTCCGTCGTAATGTGAGAAGAAAGACAAAATAAATTCTATGACCAACATTAGGCTGGTCAATAAGTTTCTATTTTTTCAGAAATAGAACAACTTGAAAGTTTATAAATGGATCGGAATTCAAATCTTCAATAAAAAATTTTTATCGTTGATAGAACACGAAGCTGATTTAAAAGTTCGATATTTCGTCGTGCTTTTCAGTGGACCATCTCAAAGAACCTCTACTCTCTTCCATACTTTGAGTAACTTTTCTCAATTTATTTTATATAATTTAGTTATTAAGAGATCAAGAATCTAGAATACGACAGGCAAATCGAAACTCTAATCGACAAAAATTAGTATAAAAATTCGTTAATTTTCTCCTGAACCATCTTGAGTACTTTCGTTTTTCTTCTTAAAAAAATTGACCATAATTATGAGTTATTTTTTCGTTATTAAGATAGCTTCCGTAATCTACGCTCCCTCTTTATTGCACGTTAATGTTTCAAATTTGTTAGATATTTTCGTTGTTATACATCATATTGCCTCAAATGAATAATTACATAAATTTATAATGAATAATTCTGCTTCTCCAGTTCAAATGTTTAAAATTGGCATGATTTAGATTTGGGCGTTTGAACCTGATAGGACAATCAAAGTTAGGCCTTTGCAATGACTAGCTGCCAGCATCACTTACTCATCTATACAATGCCTTACTTATTTATATAATGTGGGTGGAGGAGAAGAAGAGGAAAGCAAGGTCATGGGTGAGGGATATTAGGCCAAGTGCTATATATGAGAGAAATAATTAGTGTTAAGAGTAAGAGAAGTGTGCACCGCAAAATAAAGTTGAAGGGGAGGTACACTTTTAACTCTTTTAACCCAGTATTGCTTTGACCGAATCTCTCAGGTTCAGAAAACGAATGGAGTTAAAGTCACGCATATTCCGGGACCAGCCGGAGCCCCCTTTGCAGCGCGCCGTATACTGGACGGAGTACGTGGCAAGATATAGGGGAACATACTTTGTTTTGAATGAATTGATTGAAAGAATGCAGAGGAATGAATTGATTGAAAGAATGCAGAAAAAGCACATGATAGGGTCGATAAAAAATTATTGTATGAGGTTTGAAAATTGGTATGAGTGAAAAGTATGGATGGATAGTATATATGTGAATGCTCGAGCGAAATATGGGCTAGGAGATGTGGAAACAGACTGGGTGAAGTGCGCGAGGGGGTTCGACAAGGATGTATCCTGTCTTCACTTCTCTTTAGCTTTACACTGAAGGCTGCTAGACTGAGAAGAATGTATGTCAGTATGTGGGAGTGCGTGTCGGAGATGAAGACTAAAAATGCCACTGTTTGCAGTTGATGCTGTAAATATGAGTGAAATTGGGGTTGAACTTCAGAGTATGCTAGGCTGTTTAACTGTTTATGGCATGGATTTTAATGTGCGCTTTAGCCAGGTGCTAGTTCTTAATGGAACAGCTGATGATGTGGATAGAGTGTGGCATATGGGAAGCAGTGTGATTGGGATAACAAATGAGTACAGATACTTGGGAATGAGTTTTGACCAAAAAGGATGTGTAAGGGCCAAACCGATGAGTCTAGCAAAGCAAATAAGTGGCTTGGAATATTTGGAGTTTGCTTGTGGCCGTGATACGTAACGGACGTGCGGTGTCGTGCGCGGTCCCGTTTACATTTTAAAGAAATTGTTTAAAGAAATTGCTGAGATAGAAGGAATAATCATGCTTTGTTAACCGAATCACACCTAAGAGAGGATACCCAAGATGGAAAAATCGAAATGAAAGGCTTTCAACATTACCGAGCAGACCGAAAAGAAGGGAGGATAATAGGAGGCATTATAGTCTACCTCAGAAACTCCCTCGCGTCAAAAATATTTCCCCTGCATTTAGGCTCCAAAGGATATGTGTACCATGATATGATACACATCTCCAATTATGCATAGCTATCGCATACCGACCACCAGACTGCCCGCCAGAAAAATTCAATGAAACTATCGAAATAATAGAAACAGAGATGGCTAACTTGGGTGAACCTTCCCCAAATATTGTGGTTGTGGGAGATTTTAACCTTCCACACATCCGATGGCCATACTGGGACCGTTTAGGACGGCGCAGAGATCTGGCCGGAAACCAGGTAACAAAACTACTTCGATTCGGTAGGGAGCACTTGCCAAGTTAACAGGTGCTGGTACGTGCCACGAAGAGATTCATCGCAGCAACGCCCATGCAGTGTTCTCGCGTTCCAGTTACCACTCCGGGAAGCCTGACTGCATTTTTCTATTAATGCTATGACCAACTTTGGCTGGTCAATGAGTTTCTATAATATACTGATTGAAACGTTATAAGTGGATCGGAATTCAAATCTTCAATAAAAATTGTTTATCGTCGATAGAACACTGTATTAATTTAGCTACTTCACTGTAACATATCAGCCACAAGCCACCAGACCGATCACGTCCATTGAATTAGATCAATCAGCCCACAGGATCGTCTGCCAATAGCCGAAAAATTATTACACCACCCGTACGGAGCGCGTCAGATCCTTGCAGTGATTATGATGCCCGCCACCGAGCTGTCCGTATCTGTCCCGTGTGTCGAATCAGCCTACGGTCGAACGGCCACGCGTCATAGGACGATAAATTTTGGAACAGAACTATGCTATCTGAAACCTAACTGTTGAATCTTGAATAGCTATGCAGGATCTACCCGACCTCAGTTCACAATTGCGGTGCTCACAACAGTTAAACTCTTCTGCTCTAATCTGACTCCAAAAGATATTGATAAAATAATTAGTCAGTCGTCAAGGATACAAAACTGATTTACAATAGTTATTTTCTTCATTTCATTCAAATTTCAACCTTCCCAAAAGACCATCGAATTTATTATTGTCGTTTCCAGCGTTGAAATTTTGTCATCGGGAAAATCGATGTTCACTCGAAGTAAGTGTAGAACGGTAAAATAGCTACCTACAAAAATGCGCTGCACTTGAAATTTTACAGCTCACAAATAAATATTGGCCCACAAAAATGTCTAACATAATTTTGACTTAACAAACTCAAAATTGCAAACAAATTAAATCTCACACTAACCCCAGATGCTGTGTGCTAAAGTTAACGTAATTTAACAAAGCTGCGGAAGTCACTCGTCGAAGGACGATAGAATTTGGAACAGAACTATGCTATCTGAAACCATACCCCGGATGCTCCGAGCTATAAGTGACCGTCTGGTGGTGCACGGCAGGATTCATGCAGTTCCACTGGCAAGCTGTGATGCGTGGGCAGGGTGGCCCAGTGGTTTAAGGCCCTGATTGAAAGCCGTACGAAGTCTGAGAGCGAGGTTTTCGCGACCATCGTGTAAAATCCTTGCTCTGCCCGAAGCTCGGCCATTCACTACCTTCGAGCTTGTACTCTTTGTAATATGATATCCTGGCCAGCCCCTTACTCGCGGCAACTGGTCGCTTACAGGTGGCCGAGGAATGGCCAACGGTCGGCTATAACTAATTGGACTAGGCCGACCACTGGCCACGTATTATTCTTCGCATGCTGGCTCAGGTATCATATTACAAAGGCAACAAGCTCGAGCGCAGCAACTTGCCGATCTGAACACAGAACAAGGGTTCCACATCCTTGTCGCGAATTTCTCGCTCACGGACTTCGCCGCCCTCTGACTACTGGCCTTAAGTTCAGAGTACCAAAATTGGAGCAGAAAGGCGTGTGATCCCAGCTCTGTGCGCCAGCTTCTGGTCAGAATCGGCAAGGAGGCCGTGCGCGGTTAAGCACAGCAGAATTGTAGCAGTGAGTTGCGAGTTCGAGACCGCAAAATGCTGTGAATGTTCTGCGATGTTAAGAATCGGCGACAGGCCTACGGCCTAAAAACCGCTGAAACCGCGTTCAGCGGTTCGAGCTAAAGTTACAGTTCGAGCTAAAGGGAACGCAGCCGTGCACCACCAAATTTGTGCACCAATAAGGACTGGAAGTGTGGGGGCTACGTGCCCGACTACATTCAATAATTATTTGACTCCAATCAGCGGATTTAAAGGCCAAGACAACTTGTATTAATCGTTAAAAACAGATGGAAACTGAAGGGGCGGCAAGATGAAGTTGGTTGGGACGAAGTGAACGCAACTGCATATGATAATATGAATTTATTAATTTAGCTCACGTGACCTGCTCGATGTGATGATCCCTGGGGAATTTGGAGACCAGGCCAGTGGTGAAGGTCGGCG